AGTTTGAATGTCTTGGGGGGAAGAATATTGATCAACAGAATACATCATACATGTACATATTAAATATATTACTAGATAAGAGTATAATAAGCATATATATGAGTGACGTGTATGATAACTGAAAATCTGCTTCGAAAGCTGGAAAAACAGAAAATTGGGCATAAATCCCCTGAAATACAGTTTTATGGCATAACATTTGGCAGAAGTTAAAAGGGTCCTCAGGCAAGTATTTCAGCCCAATAAGGTCAAATTCTGTGAACCCCCACCTTGCCGCACTTGTCTGGTGCTTAAAAAAACTGGCACTTAATATGCTTTTTATAACTTAGTCTAGATAAGATCTTTGGCCTTTAATGAAAGTTAATTCCAAGAAGACTGCATGAACAAAAAGTCATTTATTTGATTTAAAGCCTATGTACCAGTCCTACATGGCATACAAATAACAATTTGATTTATTAATTTATGGCTGAGTAATACATTTTTACATGTGCTTAAATTTGTAATGACAGGTACCTTAACTCGGAATTTTTGGTAGGTAGTATGTGGAAAAGTCCATCCACTTCCTCTTGTAGAAGTGGGGATTTTTCCCATTGTAAGTGAATCATCAGACTTGAAATTTGTATCATGTAGAAGAGTCACCAGAGGATAGTCACTGTCACACAAGAATTTTCAGTTCCCTCGACCTTTTAACCCTTTTAACTGACCACGGACCATGTGACCGATGGACTTGAGTCGATTTCTTTAACAGACACCTCGCCTCATATCTGAATTTATCGCTAGCTCTAAGCTCTTAGTACGTGCTAGGTGCAAGTAAAACTTTAACCTGCACCATACTGGTGTGTAAAAATAGCAAACACTATTTTTTGTAAGTGACTGTGATTTTAAATGCCAGACAATAATATTCATCAAAAATGAAGTGAAAATATACAGCTTGATTATTTTATTGTGGGCCGGTAAAAAAAGGTGTGGGCTGACAAAAATTTAATTTGCTTCAGCCCACATGTCTGGTAGTGGTAAGTGTTCAATTTCTTTCGCAATCACTGTAATCATGTGCCATAAGCAATTATTTTATTCTACTAAGAGGGTCAAATTGATGTCTTCATAACACATACACACACACACATATACACACATACACACACACACACACACATGCAGTCCTTACAGAATCAGTGTAGGGGTCAATTAAAGTTTTATGTCATATCACACGGTTACTGCAAATGTAAAATAGCGTCGCTGCATGTCAAAATGAGGGAAATTGGAAGTTGTATCACTGATTATGATTAAAGAATACTATACTGAAGCTATAATAATTATTATTATAATTATTATTTTCATTGTTATTATTAAAGGCTGTTATTTAGTAACAATGATTAACTTTGTCATGTGTTATAATTATGATTTTAGTCTTTCAAAATGACTTAACAGTCTTTTTAAAGCTGTACTAAGTCATACTCTTTTTTTTTTTGCAGATTCCATTTGAAGACCAGCTCCAGGCATTCCAACCACCACCTCCTGATGTGGCACATGTGATCATTGCTACAAATGTGGCAGAAAGTTCCTTGACACTTCCTAGAGTGCGTGTTGTGCTGGACTTTGGGATACGCAAACAAATAGTTTATAACCCAAAGCAAAAGATGAGAATGCTGGAATTACTGCCTTGCTCCAAGGCTTCCATGGAGCAAAGAAAGGGTAACTCCCAAATTATGTAAACAGTTTGAAATTTGATTCTGATGGTAGATTTTTAATTTTCACAGAATGCCAAACAACTTTTATCATTTAAATTATTGTTTTTCTTTTTATCAAGAGCTTATAAAATATGTTGGTATTACCTTCTATATTTCTGTGACTGTCAGTCACCATCATCAGGGAGTAAATGACTAGGGTCATTTTACCTGGAATGAAAATCCAGGTCAATTGCCCCTAATCACTGGCCTAGTGTTGTAACTGTTACATCCCCCACCCCCTCCCCGGGGTACCAGTGACTTTCATCATATTTTGGGGGGCATGGTTTTGTAATTTTGTAGTTTATAATAAGATGTAGTCATCAATATATTCTTGCTTATGATGTAAAATGAAAAAGGATTTTTTAAAAATGGCCCACTTTTTTTGACCAAATGGGTTTCCAACCAGTTTCAATTGGAATGGGTGATTGCATATAGCCACCCAATTCAGTTGTCAATCTGTTGAACTGGTATGATAAGGAAAACTATACCACTTGATGTGAAAAGGGCCTTAGTGGTGATTCACTGTATAATTTTGGTTTTGTGGAACAACGTCATGGCTTACTTTATTATATACAGGTCGAGCTGGGAGAGTTTTTCCTGGTGTTTGTATCCGAATGTTCACAAAGAAGCACTTTGACATGCAGGCCAAGTTTGATATGCCACAGATGAGAATTTCTCCACTTGAAAAAATTGTGCTGGAAGTTAAATATATAGGCAAGTGTATCATCATCATGTACATTTTTATTTTTGATTATGTTTTTTTCCCCACATTCTTTGTATATAAAACACATTTTTTGTCATTGGTAATTTTTTTTGCATGAGCACCCTTCATCAAACTACTAAATATATAGAGAGAGATTGAGATAGAGAAAAATGACCACTAATTCAGTAGGACACATACTGTCAGGGCGTAGGGTTTTTACGTCGTTTTTTTCACACGCCATTACGTTACGTCGCGTTCGTTTTGTGAAACGGTGGAAATTTGACCGAAAAATGTCAATATTATCTGCTGAAGTAAATATCTAATACTTCCAATCATATGGTATATTAATTGGGTATTTAAGCTTCATACCCATGTAATATTTTATTTTGAAATGTTTGATTTCACACGTCACGGTGACATTTTTCCTTGGCAACATTGTAACTTTCCTTATAATTTGCAAACTAGAGAGTGTGCGGGAAATTCCAGAGCCTGTATAATGTGTTTAAAAGCCATAATTGTGTGGCTAAATTTATATTCAAATCTATCCTTGTAAACAAATGCCTCAGCTGTTTTTGTAGGAAGATAGTGTAAAATTCAGGATTTGACGTCATGCATCAGCCAAGACGAGCCCAACTGGATGTTTGTTTACATTTTCACCTATTTGTGCTTTAGCGAATACTTGTATTAATATGGTCGGTAATTCTATTTTTATGTTGATAAATGTTACTGTCTGTATAAGGTTTAGTCCCAATTCCATTTTACGATGTTATGACTGATATTTGTACAAAAACAATATCTAAGGAGCTGGTCAAAATTTTCAGTGGTAAATGTGTAAACTTAAATTAGCTAATATTTGTATTTCTAAATGTTATCTGTGTTTTATGTGACATTGATAAGATAAGTGGATTGTTTTCTTCATTTTAATTGGCAGATAAGTATTTTTAATAAGCATATACTAGTATTTCTTTAAAATCCTTTATTCAACATATACAACATACTGAAACATGTTGAACAATTTTATCTGGCAAGTTATAATAGTAGAAAAAAATAAATTAACATGATGATAGTAATAAATCCACCTTCAAAACGATAGGTGGCGCTTTTCCAAGATAGCCAACAGATAATACAACAACAGATCGCTGCGCCATCTGGTGTCTAATGATGTCATTACTATTCTTGCGGGATTAAACTTTTGGCGCGACGTTACACTTTTGACGAGTGGTACTACATTATATACACTTTTTTTTGTATAAAGTATAACTTCTGAATTCTATTTGAAAAGCTATACCTACCTCATTATAATCTTCATATATAGTTTACATGCGTGGGTCACAAATTTCTGCATGTTTTGGTGCAATTCGAAACTGGCTGCACAATTCACTCCACCTGTCCACCCTCGTGATAAAATTGCGGGATTTCCAAGGAAAATAGGTCAGGCGAACTCTCGCAAAACGTGAGGCATAACTGGTACTCTGGTATTAAATTTAAGTTAGATTTTTATTATTTCATACAATCATTGTCCTAATAAACTGAAAACATCATTTTTTTTGTAAAAAATTCCGTCCTCTGTATTCAGGACGTGGTGGTAAGAATTCTTGACGGATTATTGTTAAAACTATGTTCTTTTTCGACAGAAGAACAAATGCTTATTCACTTTCTAAAATATAAAAGTTCAAGCCACGGTAGATTTTTTGCAATACAGATTTACGTGCAAAGTACTCATTTTCAATGAGTCGCCATTCTCGTGCTATTTTGTTACGCGGATGTAGCAAATGGACAATCATGACGTGCCGAAGTACACCGCTTTTCGACAGTATGTGTCCTACTGAATTATAGACTGCAACTTGCTGAAATATTGAACAGTGATGAGTAATTGGCATAGTAACTTGTCTTCAAAAGATCATGGAAGAACTTAAAAAATGTTTGTACTCACTGCAATTCTGATTAAATAATGCCCTAGTAATAGCCATCATTCTCTGTGCAGTGGTGCTGTGAATGATAACATATATATAGTGGTTAACTTAGAAAATGCAAAGTCGGGGCTTTTTGCCTCTCTTCTTGAGTAGATTTTTTTTCTGAAGCTTAAAATTTGTTCACATACGGTAAAATGCCATGAATTTCGAACAGTAGAAAATAATTAAATTTGGGAAAAGATCGTTCTGGCTGAAATTCATGAAATGGAGGTGCTCAGAACTTCCAAAACGTTCGAATTTCATGAAATTCTGTCAATTTTGACCGGAAGTTGTCTGTTCGTCGCTAGGCCTTCTGATGTCTTCTCCCGACGATCTATTTAGAGTTACCATAATGTATGATGTGTGAGTGTCGGTAATTGCGACCAAAGGGATACACGTACTTTCACCCGATCACTATGTACGGGGCATAGATAGAGCAGTACTATTGTCTGTGGCGCACGTGCCGGTAGCCTTCATCTGTAGTGTCTTCCGCGACCAGGTTCGTTGCCTTTACCGTTAAAGTCGGGCGGAGCTTTACGCGCGAGTGCGTCCTCATCTCGCCGTTCGCGGGTCGGTGTCTCCAACGCATACGTAGCCTTCCCTGCAGAAGATGGCCTCTGGACTACGGTCTCTCTCCTCCGTGCGGGGAGGCCACTACGACCGCAGATCGGTATGTGTGGCGCACAGGTAGCATTCGCCACGGCAGCCGAACTGTGTATAACGGTCTCTCCGTCGTGCGTTGCGACCAAGATGACCGCTGATTGTTGTCTGCGATCAAATATACAAGGAGGGGAGGGGGGGGTGCAGGGCCGTTTTTTTTCTTTTTGCTCAGGCAACCCAATCTTGACCAGTAGCAACTGATTTCCTGGCGCATTGTTGCGTCAATGTACGCATTTGAAAAGTGTGTACGTTTTGTCATTTAAACCATCTTCAAACAAACACGTGAGAGATAGGTAATCTAGAGTAAACCGAAAAGGCAGATTTTATATTCGTTCAAGGGACTGGAAGATCGTCAATGGGAGATCGTGAGCGATCTGAGCGCGACAGTAAGCCAATTTCTACACTAGTTCAAGGGACTTCGTTACTGTATTTGTAAGCAATTGCCTCTTAAGAGATCGTCAGCGATCCGAGCAAGCATAGAAGCTTGGACTTTTTGTCCATGCTAGAAGGCAATTTTCATGTAGTCAGCAAGATATAGTTTGCGACAGGGGCGTAACCAGGCATACGCACGGATACACTGTGCGTATAATTTTTTGGTCAACCATGATATTATTCTCTATAAATCTAGTGTACTTTTCAAGGAATATTGTCGAAAATCCCTTTCGATTATAAGTTAACGTCACTCTGTATAGTTTATATATGGACCATTGTTCTGACACCCTTCTCGCTTGCTTTCACAGAACTGAGGTATACAATACTAGTTACCACCTGAAGTCCGATCTTAATCGTCCATCTAGCTGGAATTGCTTTACCTCTTAATTAGAGGGTAAAGTGCCCTTCAGCTCACAGGTAGCTTTTGTCTTGAGCGTATCGGACGCACTCTTGCTGGCGACATTTATCTCAGATAAAAATCTACCTGTGTGTTATTTTCAAAGAGCTGCTCCAGCAGACCTGGGGGCACTAGATAAATCTGATCATTGGGCTAAACAAGGAGCCAGAGAAACAAAGGAAGATTGATTTTTCCTGCAACGCTTCAAAGAATTTTGACATGGACTTGATCCAGCTTAACCCTACAAAGTAACGGGGTGGCATGGGCAATTTTTACAAAATTTACAAACAATTAAACTTTGATATATTACAATTTTATCATTTAATGTAATTTTGGGAGGCATGCACCCCCATGTAAGCTGGGTGATGTCAGTAAGCCCCTAGTTAAATAAATGTACCCTTATGAGCAAGGCTTTTCCCAGCGAACCTTCCAGCCGACATTTGGACGGCCGCTGACATCACCGGATGGCCTATATTTTCAAAGACGGCTAGACGGCTTGTAACTTTTTTCTAAATGACGTCTTGGCTTGTCGGGACAGCCGTGGACGTTGTAAGAATTTTTTTAGAGTAATTTGATGTACCTAGCTTTTATGATGCGTCACAGATGAATGGTACTACTTTGTAGTGTACGCTGATATTCAGTCACGACGAAACTACGTCCTAAAGCTTACAAAACACAATAAAATGTTTATATGAACTTTAAGATACACATTCCGCGCCGTATGCAGCAGTGACAAAAGTGACCTTCATGCGGTACAAAACACTCTAAGCAAACTACAGGCCAATTTGTAAAAGGGGACACCTTCCGGACCTTCATACGCACGGCAACTGACAAAGCTGACCGACAAAAAAAAATTCCAAATTTTCAGCGAGAGATCGTTCGCAATCCGAGAGAGACCAGGAGGCAATTTTCATATTTGTTAAAGAGACTTTGTAAGCCAAAGGGCGAGACAAGAACGCAATTTTCGTATCGTCAGCGGGAGATCGTTCGCAATCGGAGTGAAACGAGAAAGCTCATACTCGTTCAGTGGCTTTCGTTTGCGGAAGATCGTCAGCCGGAGATTGTTCTCGATTGTTTTTAACCCTCCCTCCCCATTGGAATTTATAATTTTTAAAAATATTTTTCAATCCATTTGTACATTTCAAGGGACTTCATTAGCGGAAGATCGTCAGCGGGAAATCGTGAACGATCTGAGCGAGACAAGAAAGCAATAATGATAATCTTTATTGCAGCTCTTAATATTGCTCGTTTTGTTCTGTTACTGAATTCTCTACTGTTAACAATGCTATTGTGCGCCTCAGCAAAACTACCGATCGCTATCTCACACCGAATACTGTGGGAAAGAAACAACAGCCCGACAGTACAACTCTTAATAGATTCTCCTGTTATCTAAATGAATAGATATGACGATGTTGTTTAGCGTCCTAAACTAACTGTACCGATCGTTATCTTGCACCTTGGGCCGCGAATGTAGTACTCAGGTAAAGGTACGCTAGGGCAACATTGCCGACTGTTAGATCTTTATAAGCGCGAAGATAGCCCGGTGGCCGATTTAAAGGTGTACGGAATTCACGAAATTAAGGTTGCACAAAATTGCTTACTGGCCGAAATTCATGGTCCCGAAAAAACTCCAGACGGCCGATTCTAAGATCGTTCGAAATTCAAGAGCCGTTCGAAATTCATGGCACTTTACCGTAAATATGTTTACAGTTGTACAGCTGATGTAGTAAGTGATTGATATATGGTGGAATATGACAGTCTGTTGAATTTTGATATTGTGTGGCATTGAAATTAAAATAAGACATAAGATATTGAGTATTTATTGTGGTGTATATGGAATGTGTTTTCAGGCAAGAAAATAGCACCAGAGCTTCGCCCAACTGAGTTACTTCTGCAGACCATAGAACCACCAGATATTGACAACATATATGCTGCTATAGAGATGCTGGCAAACTTGGGAGCCATTGAAGGTAACAAAGTTTATCAATTAGTTATTTGTTTTGTCATATGTACTGATGTTTATGGAATATTGATTGGAATGGCTAGACATTTGATTATATTTACAAAGATTTTGCAAAAAAGATGTGAATTTTTTAGATAAATTTATCAATTTACAGACAATGATGAAGATGCCAGCATCACAACCCTGGGTTTGTTAGACATGCAACTGCCAGTGGATCTGCACCTGACATGTGTCATCATGTATGGTGTTCTTTTTGACTGTCCCTGTGATGGCATTATAATGGCAGCAGCCTTGCAAGCCAAAGATCCATTCACCATGCCAACAAAGAAGATTCAGAAGGAAGATGCACAGTTCATCCGGTCTTTGCATTCTAGCTCCAGTGCCCGCAACAAATTTGATATGGGCTACTACAGTGAGCCTCTTATGCTACGGCAAATGTTCCTAGAATGGCTTAAAACTGCCAGAAGGGGGCAGGAAGGTAGAAATACTCATAAAAATGTACGAGCAGACTTCTGCCGTAAGTACCGTGTAGAAAGCAAGAGGCTGGGTCTTCTTGAAAATCTTGTGCAAAATCTTGCCTCATGTGTGCTGTCTTTTTTACCAGAAGAATCAAAGAATGCTCTTGATGTGCACATGCTTTTGGATATTTTGTCAAGCCAAATGGACAAGAGTCATAATCAGGACACTTCTAGGAGGGCTTTGGGGGGAAAAGGAAGGCAAGGTGTAGCTGGTCATTTCTCTTCAGAGATAGAATGGCTTAGTATATTTTCCAATGATATGGTATTGCTTCAAACCATATTAACAGCTGGTCTTAGCCCAATGGTGGCTTTTGGGAAAGTACATGAAGGAGAGCAAGACAAAGAAGGTATTAGACGAAGAGCTTTGACAGAAGCAATGAAGAAGGCTGGTGTAGATCCCACAACCTCTGTGGCATTGGTTAATCCCCCAACCATAATGCTGAAGAAACCAGATTTTGCAACTCAAATTTTGAAAAAGATTGCAGATCCTGATGCTGTGAGGTTTATTGGTTCAGAGAAAATAATTTTGGATTATAATAATGCCATCAAAGCATCAAAAAGAGGAGTTATAAGAGATATCCCATTGAAAGCTCACCTCCTAGATCAGTTTGGGGAAGGTAACGAAACCTTCCTGGTAGAAGTGCCTGAAGAATTGAATGCCAGCAACACAGAGCAGCAAGAAAGTGAATGTGAAGATACAGAAAATGATTCCAAAAACACTGATCATAGCAATGAAACCTTTAACAGTCGAACTGAACTACGCAGCCCAAAGCAGCCATACCGAATCACATGGACAATTCTCAGTATAGCAGGGGCCCCTTTGAAGACCCCAGGAGAAATGTTTGTGGCTGTTCCTTGTTGGAGGAACCCTATAGGATTTTCTTGTGACACCACAATGCAGGAACACTATGGGGTATTCTATCATTTTGTTTCCGGTAGTAGAGTGAGTGCCTGGGTTAATGGATTTACTGCTCTACCATGTGAATATGACAATCTTTGGGCTATGGTTCTCTTGCTTACCTTTCACAAGAGCAGTTATGGGGCAACTTGGAAAGTTGATGTAGAGAGTGGACGCATTGTATCAGCCACCATCTTTGAACACGAGTTGAAGTTCACAAAAAAGCACCCATTGACCCATCCTATCCTTCTGAAAATAAATGAAGTGAGACAAAAGATATCAGGTTTCCTCTCTAACTTGAGTCCATTTTTGATGGAGCTTATGGACTTGGTGGAAACTTCTAGTATAGCTGTAAGCCCGGATGACAATAATACAACAGCTGATGGTGATGACAGTAGAGAGATGGAGAAAATCGGTGAATTGGAAGATATGCCTGTGACTGAAGTAGCATTTACATCAAAGGAGAGTGCTGGAGGTGGGTCTGATAAGTTGGAAAATATGGATGCAGTTAATACAAAAACATCCTCAAGCAAGAGAACAATAAAGGAAACAGAAAGAAAAAGAAAGGATGCCACAACAGTGACTGTCAATGCATTTACTGTTCCACAAGAAACGGGCATCTTTACATACTTGGTGCCTTATGATACTAGGGTATTTGATGAAACTTATATAAAAACTTTGCGAGAGACAATGAAGGCAATTCAACCTTGTAGTGCCTTAGCTTCAGATGCATTGAAGAAACTTGCAGCATTGGAAGAGGAAGACGAAAGAGAAGAAGACATCAGAAGGGAATATCTACACAAAGCAAGTGAAGACGAACTACTTGACTGTATTATTGCAATACTAGAACTGCACAAACCACCTACAAACACTGTTTCTTTCAAAGAACTTAGCAGAACCCCTAGTGTGAAGAGATTGGCTGATCAGCTGCGAGGCCAGTCATTTGGTGACTTTTCTTGGCAAAGGTTTTTTGATAGGATGATAAAACAAGGTTTACTTCATGTTACTCTTGACAAGGAAGGGGAAGATGTAGTAGTTCAGCTGCCAACTTCTGATATAATGTTACAAGGACAACCATCATCACGTAACTTAGCACAGCAAGATGTGCTCTATGTTAGGACTGTCAAGAATGGAGAAGATGAAGCAGTAGATCTGCCAGTTTCTGACATCATGCTACAAGGACAAGCATTATCTGTTGAAATTGCAGAGCAAGATATGCTTGATATTACACATGTCAAGAATGCAGGAGATGCAATAGTTGATACTCCAGCTTCTGATATGAAACAAGGACAGCTATCATCAGAAGAATTATCACAGCAAGATTTGCTTGGTTTTACATTTGTCAAAAATGCAGAAGATGCAGTAGTTGATCTTTCAGTTTCTAGGACAAAGTTTCAAGGAAAACCACAATTGGAAGGAATGGCAAAACAAGATGTGCTTAATGTTACTCTTTTTCAGAATGGAGAAAATGCTGCTATTGTTGAGAGACCATCTTCTTGTACAATGTTGGAAGAGTATGGTCAGTTGGGCACACTGACAGAGGTATCCAGTACACTGAACAACCAATATCATGCTGATTTGGCCGAAAGTATTGAATCTGTGTTGCAAACCTCTAGGTTCCCAGTTACATTGTCTTGTTTGAAAAAGCATCCTGATGTAGAGAGTCATTTGTTCTTGGTGATAGAACATGAACCATCTTACACATTAACCAAGTGCATTGAAGAACATGGACATTTGTTTAGGATGGTAAAGATCTGGAACACTGAAGCTGTATGTTTGAACAAAGCAGAGGATACAGATTGTGCTAATGTGACACCAATTGTCACCTTGAGCCATTTTGAAGGTGCCAAAGAGCCTACCATTCAGTCCAGTACGTTAACTGGCGACCCAAGTGGCCCAAGCCAGTTTCATGGTGCTAAAAGGGCACACATACAGGTTGAGTATAAAAAGCAAGAAAAAGGTGAAGCTGATGCTGCTGGGGCACTTGTCATGGAGGAAGACAGGGAAGATAAAAGAATTGGCATTAAAGCTTCAGGAGCTCCTGCTGTTGAGACACATAGGAAATGTGATGTTAAAGTTTCTGCAATGCTTCATATGGAGCAAAAGATTAAAGATGAAAAAAAGCTTAAAGCACATGCTTCAAAGATATCATGCATGACACCTCATGGCCCTGATTTGAATGATGAAAAAGATGAAGCTGCTGGACTACCTACTGTGGAAGCACAAATGAAAGATGAAAATACCAAGAGGGAAGTTACCTTTGTTTCCAGTGTGCCATCACAGGGTCTTGGTTTTGGTGGTGGAAAAAGTGCATTACCAGTTAGCCCAAGGCATTTCGGTTTAGGGGTTAAAGAGACCTGCATTGTACCTGGGAGTGAAATGCAGACTGGTATGACAAATGAAACCCATACAGATCATAGTGCTTTTGATCAGGAGAAATACATTTTGACTCAGCAAATAGTTGAACACTTATCACAGGTGAAGGAGCCAGTATTGCTTTCAGCCTTGGGTACAGTGCCTTCTGTAAGATGTATTGTACTGAGCATAAGAGCCAAACATAAAAAGGGTTTCAAGCTGAAGGATCACCTCTTAGAAAATAACCAGTTCTTGTTGAGTCATGTGAAAGGTGCTGATTTTGTGCAGATAAAAGATGTCAAAAGGATGCAGGGAGTATCTGCAGTGCCTCCTTTGGAGAAAAAGATGAAAGATGAAGAAAAGATTAAGGCACATGTTACAATAAAACAATTCATGACCCCTGGCTCTGGTTTAAACTTTGAAAACGATGAAGCATATGTTGCTGGGGCACTTGTCATGGAGGAAGACAGGGAAGATGGAAGAACTGGCATTGAAGCTTCAGCAGCACCTGCTGTGGAGACACAAGGGAAATGTGATGTTAGATTTTCTGAAATGCCTTATATGGAGAAAAACAATAATAGCAAAGAAAAGCTTAAAGCACATGCTACAGTGATGTCATGCATGACATCACACGGCTCTGATTTAAATGATGAAAAAGATGAAGCTGCTGGACCACCTACTGTGGAGGCACAAATGAAGGATGATGAAAATACCATGAGGGAAGTTACCATTGTGCCATCACAGGGTCTTGGTTTTGATGGTGGAAAAAGTAAAGGTAACTCTGTTGAAGCACCTAAAGAAGAGATACAAAGGATAGATGATATAAAACCAAAGAAGAAAGTGACAATGGTTCCCTATGTAAAACCACAGGACCAGATGGTTAATGGAAATAACAAAGTTGATGCAGCACATGCTACAAAGATACCATGGATGATACCTCATGGCTCTGATTTAAATGATGAAAAAGATATAGCTGCTGGACCACCTACTGTGAAGGTACAAATGAAAGATGATGAAAATACCAAGAGGGAAGTTACTGTTGTTTCCAGTGTGCCATCACAGGGTCTTGGTTTTGATGGTGGACAAAGTGAAGGTAAAGCCGCTGAAACAACTGCTGTGGAGAAACAAAGGATAGATGATATAAAACCAGAGAAGAAAGTGACAGTGATTCCCTGTGTGCAGTTATCAGAGAGCCCAGGTCAGTCTGCTGATGCCCCTCAGCCCAGTGCATTACCTGTTAGCCCAGGTGGTCCAAGCCAATTTGTTTTTGATGTTAAGGAGGCCTGCACTGTAACTGGGAGTGAAATACAGACTGGTTTCAAAAATGAAACCCACAGAGATCATAGTGCTTTTGATCAGGAGAAATTCACTTTAACTCAGCAAATAGTTGAACACTTATTACAAGTGGAGGAACCAGTATCCCTTAGTACACTGGGTACAGTGCCCTCTGTTAGATGTATTCTTTTAAGCATAAAAGCCAAATATGAAAAGAATTTTAAACTGAAGAATCACCTCTTAGAAAATAACCAGTTCTTGTTGAGCCGTGTGAAAGATATTGATTTTGTGCAAATGAAAAATATCAAATACATCTTGACACGGGAAATAGTTGAACACTTATCAAAAGTTAAGGAGCCAGTATTGCTTTCAGCCTTGGGTACAGTGCCTTCTGTGAGATGTATCCTTCTAAGCTTAAGAGCCAAACATAAAAAGAATTTTAAGCTGAAGGATCACCTCTTAGAAAACAACCAGTTCTTGGTGAGCCAAGTGAAAGGTGTTGATTTTGTGCAGATGAAAGATGTTATTGGAAGGAAACAGGGAGTTTCTGCAGTGCCTGATATGGAGAACAAGATGAAAGACGAGGAAAAGCTTAAAGCACATGCAACACCTCATGGCCCCGATTTGAATGATGAAAAAGATGAAGCTGCTGCGCCACCTACTGGCATGGCACAAATGAAAGATGATGAAAATGCCATGAGTGAAGTTACCATTGTTTCCAATGTACCATCACAGGGTCTTGGTTTTGATGGTGGAAAAAGTAAAGGTAACTCTGATGAAACACCTACAGTAGAGAAACAGAGTATAGGTGATGTAAAACAAAAGAAGAAAGTGACAATGGTTCCCTATGTAAAACCACAAGACCAGGTGGTTAATGGAAATAACAAAGTTGATGCAGCCAATTTAGTGACAGTGAAAACTCTCCCCATGAATCATGAGCCACCTGTTGGAGCCAGGTTGAAGGAGACTGGACAGTTGTTAGATGAAGACTATCAGTATTTTGCTCAGTTAGTGAAACAGCATTTATCTAGATGGGAACAGGACTCAAATAGGGCCATGACACTGAGCCAGCTTGAGGAGAATGCTGACATCAGGGAGCAACTGAAGCTCATGAGAGAGAAATGCAGTGCTGGTTTGGAATTGAGAACAATTTTTAGAAGGCTTGGTAAAACCTTTGCATTAGATGACAATGGGGCTTTGAGGTTTACACGGGCCTGTATACAAAAGGAAGCATATGAGAGAGAGAAACAGCTCTTGACTCAGTTAGTCAAGAGTCATGTAACAGCAACCATATTGCCAATAAGCCTGGAAGTGCTTGCCCAACAGGTGGATATAGAGAGGCAGTTGAAAAAGATGGAAATCTACAAAAACATGAAATATACACGTGATGAAAATATAGATTTGGTTGACATACTCGGAGGCTGTGGGGACACCTTTGAAGTCATAGAAAGTAAAAAGAAGTTTCTTGTAAGATTATCTAGTGCTGAAGTGAAGACAAATGCAGAATCATTTGCAGAAGACAAAATTAGGTTGGGGCTGTTAGTGAAAAACCACTTGTTAGAGACAGGCACTGGTGGGCCAATGAAGCTTGTCGAGCTTTGTCAGAAGGCTGATGTGAAGGAGAAACTGCTTTTCATGAAGGCCAAGTACAACAGGAATGATCTGAACTTGCTTCACATTATTTCCATTTTTGGGGAAGTCTTTGTGTTGCAAAATGTAGACCAAATGGAGGCTGTAAGGTTAACAAAATCTGCATTAAGAAGGGAAAAGGAAGTGTTAGATACAAAACTGTTGAAGATAGCAAACAGAAAATAGCACAGCTTGAGGAACTCCATTTGCCAAGTGGTTATGCAGTTGGCTGTGATTAATCACCAAGTTGATGGAAGGAAGGGGATGAGTATTCTACAAACAAATAATAATAATGAAATAAAGAAATAATAAGTATAAATATGATAGACATTCTCAAAGAAAATGTTGAGAAATTCATATTCATTACTGTTGTTGGATTGGAAGTAGTTTTAACAAGGCAGCAGAGCTGTCAAATGTGTGTCAAATCATATTTAGACAGGGCATCTTGGGTTGATTGTAGATTCATTGTGTGCTTCACTATGTGAAGATGTTTACTAATGCCTGTTTTTGCCAAAAAATGTTTGTTAGGGTATTTTTAAAATATTGTTTCTTTCCATGGTTTGTAAATAATTTACTTTCATATTTTTTAAAAACTGTGATGGAACTGAGATGTATAATTTTGAAATGTTAAATTTTGATATAATTTTATGCAATCATTAATACATTCTGTGATAGTTCAATCAGCATTATTTTAAATCAAAACAGAACTTTGCCATTGAAAATAGTTTATTTTTATGAGAAGGTGTGTCATATCCATTATATAAGAAAAATACAATTGGTCCAAACTAGAGGCTATTCATTCATTAAATTCTTCACAGTTTGTCTTGTTTATATATATGTCCTTAAATAGCATAAGATTTAAGCTTCATATTCTGCGTATTAACAAATCAGAAGATGTATTTTTTCTTTGTAGTATCAATGACTCACTGAATTAGGCTCTAAATATTTTCACATAAGCTTTGGCTGGATTTAAATATAAGAATTAAACAAGACAGAATAGAATGTACCTAACCAGTCATGAAGACTGCACTGTCAACATTGCTGCTGATATAATGTTCTCTACAATACAATATGATATGTGATTATCAGTTATTTTGAACTGTATAATGTTGTGCCAATAAATTTTAAACATCATTTAATGGTATATTTTATGTATACTGTATTCAGTATATACAGTGAAAAGCAGTTTGAGTGGAACCCTGGTGGCTCTAAAGCCCTCAAGCTTTTTCTCTGTCTCTCTGTCCGATCTTCATAACACTATTCTTTTTATAGAAATCAAGGGAACTATGCAATATAACATCCACATTTCTCATGTGTATACCCTGATGCTCAATTGGACTAATATTGGTAACATCCATATACCCTCAGACTGCAACGAAATCAAAATTTTAAGGATGAACTTGCATCAAGAATCCAAAAGACCATGATTTATGTAGACATACCTGAACAGCATAAGCATTGATGAAAACTATCCTCCTTTGTCAAGGGGCATCATAATGAATTTGGGTTGAAAATAATAATAATAAAAAAAAAAAAAAATCTTTCTAGCCATACACTGTATATGATAGAACAGACTGCTGGGCACTTGTAAGATTTTCAGACATAATCAAACCTAGTGAAGGGCCAACTCTCAGTATATCCCTGAACATATATTATAAATGTATCCCTCTATCCTTCAATTTTTACACTAGTCTATATAGGCTGTCCATCAATATCCTTTCAAAACAATTCCATAATTGCAAGTGTGATTTATGTTAACTTAATAGATTTTGTTGAAAAGTCTAAAGTGATAAATGTCCAAGTCCGCTAACCACACTAAATGTGCCAATTTTTCCTAGGTTGTCAGTAAAAAGCATAACTATTTGTCCTTTTGGAACAATTTATACCTTCTAACCAGTAGGAAGGCCTATGTTGCTGGTACTAAGATAAGCTGATGGATGCAGGTAAAGAATCCTAATATTATATTGTATGCATCGCTACTGCTACCAGAGAACTGAGGGAAAGTATTAGACTTGGTGTGTGATGTGAAAAAAATCACAAGCCTACACATTCGATTGCTGCCAAGACTTTTACAAAATAAAGCTTTCGATGATCCATTTACAACATTATGCATTAATACTTATATATATATACAAATAAATGGATTTCATTTTAAAGATACCAGTATAAAACAAACAACCACAGGGCTATATCCTCTTGTGCATCTCTCACACGACTCCCACATTTCCCACATTGTGTTAACAACTTTATCTAACTAAACTTAGTCTAAGGCTTCGTTCACATGGAATGTCTATTTTCTAAAAACCTATTTTCTATTCGTGCTATCTTATGATCACGGTCTGTGCCCTGAATATCCCGCGGCGTAATTACTGGCAGCGCGAGCCAGTTACTTATAGTACTTATAGTAACTGGCTCGCGCTGCCAGTAATTACGCCGCGGGATATTCAGGGCACAGACCGTGATCATAAGACATACCGCGAATAGAAAATAGAATTTAGAAAATAGACATTGCATGTGAATGAAACCTAATAACAACTAATCTGAAGATTGTGTGCACAGGAGCACACGCTGTAATATTTAGGTCTTCAATGTAAACATAAACAGCAATGCAGCATTATCAACATTACTTAAAGAAACTATGTAACTTGGCTACATGGTGAGAAGAAATAAAAAATAAACAGCATAAAGTAACCCCTCCCGAACTCTTCATACATTATCACTGTGTGAGATGGATGTTGTAATTAACAATGTAACCTTTTCCATGTCAGGATAAAAGGTCTTTCAGTACAGAATTGCAACAGACTTTAAAAATCATATGTACTTGTAGACCCAATTTTACATATTTAATAGTTTATGCAAATGCTTGGGCCCAATTTCATCAATGATGGACCTTTCTATCCTATGTATAGGCAGGTTACACATATAAAATGGAATTGTTGCATTTGTGAATTCCTTTAGAATGTTTTAAAATTGAACATAAGTATGTGTGTCATGGGATATACTCATTCATCAAATAGTAGACAAGGCACCAGATAAGATTGGTAGCTCCAGCATAAACCCGACAATACATACATACCTATTCTTGGATAGATCTTGCAAAAAGCTGCTTCTTTTGTTATTATGCTGAACATACAAGGTTGCCAACTGGAGTAATTACTACTGTTTTTAACACATTTAAAAATAAGTTCAAAGTGTTTAAAATCTGGTCCCAGGTTAGGACATGATAAACAATGGATTTACTCACTCTGAGAGCTTAAACTGCTGGCAGTCCTGTTTAAAGATCTCATTTACACACAAATCACTCACTAAATCTAAACAAAATGCATTAGTTCCCAAAATATCTTTTGTTAAAACAATCCAAAAAATATTTTGAAAACAAGGTGGGTTCATTTCAGAGAGTATGTCTTTTCTGCGGTACTAAAATTTCGAGAAAATTTTAAATCAATACATTTATATCATAGCGCAACAAAATGCAACATGTTTCAAAATAGACACTACTTCCTGCCACTTATTAACCTTAAAAATACAACTGACATTGGCAGAAGGTTAAAGTTTCCTTCCTTACTCTACAACATGAATTCGGTGATTCAGCAAAACACATTTCTTTGTGCCCATAAGAAAATAATTTCTTAAATAAATAAAAAAAAAAAAAAAAAAAAAAATGAACACTTGGATTTATTCTATTAGCACCATAAGATCACTTAACCATCAGCTGTTGTTAATGACAGTGTTCATTTATGTCTATCACCACCGCTTTTCGCCAGCCAAACAAGAAGTATCCTGTCCCAGCTCCTAATGCTACTGCTAGACACAGCCATATGTTGTAGGTCATGAATACCAGCATTAGGAAATAGGATACAACCACCTGAATAACATGGAGGAGGGTCTGGATGAAGTGGGCTTTGCTACACATCCGTGGTCTGGAAATTATAATCATGAAAAAAACCTTTAAAAAGAACTGAAGTGCATGTAGAAGTATAAAAGTGTGAACTTTGTGCTTTGTCAGTAAAAAATACAAAATGACATGTAATGTGAATAGAAAAAAGATAATCAAATCTACTCAATATGATTTAATGTCAAATAACATTTCATTTTGAACAACTGTATGGTGCCATCTTTATCTTTATCTTTAATCATGAAGCAAAAGGAGGCATAAATACCAGTTATACTGGGAAAAATCCTAAAACACATTCAAAACTAAAAAATTTTTATACCAATTTTTTTTTTAAATCAAAATGGGACCAATGACAAATAGAAATGTATTATGTCATGATTACAATGAAAGTCTAACCAAAGTTGTCGCTGTCCTCCCCCACTCTTGAACTCCTAGACTAATTTTCTTTCAAATTACTAGGCATGGAGGTCATGTTGGACAACTGTTTTCCCCTGTAAAAAAAAAAAAAAAAAAAAAAAAAAAAAAACTGCTTCAAATGCAAAATTCTAACTTACTGTACAGTTGCATGTGTTTCTGTGACCATAGCATCAGTATATGCACTGTTATAGGATCGTGCTCTGGTCATCACATTGTGTTTACGCAGTAAATGCTCCCTCAGAACCTTGAGACCCTCGTACAATGCAGCCAGAATGAAGATTCCTATGCAGGATCCTACCATGGCTAAAAGGGAGATAATCTTGAAAGTTGAGTATTTCAAAATATGCAAATTAAAAGATGAAAGTTCAATGAAAATTTTATATTGGTACAATACATTTTCTTAATGTCAAAATACAGTAATTACAGACATGCTGAAAACTTTTCAGAATGGCCGGACATTTGGCCCAGCAGTAATGAAAAATTTGCCAGACCGAATGCATTTTTGTCGGACCGAAAATCACTCTATTCGTTTGAGACAGATACTACCAGTACGATTAGGGTAACTTCCTTTGTTTGTGAATGTGATAGGTTTGAAATGGAAGGGAAAAAAAGCTTTGGGTTTTATACAATTTTATTAGTGACGTATGTCGAATGATGACTGTAAATTCAAAATTGCAGCTCTTAAAACTCTTGTCGGTCCTTTGGACCGACCAAGCCCAATTTTTTACCGGTCCAGACAAATTTTCCCGGTCATGACCGATCGGACCGACAGTTTTAGCATGTCTAGTAATTATCAATAATATATCAACAGCCACACTCAAAGTAAAGATAAACATGAAACAGGTTATATACATGTGAATCATAGATCAAAGACTGCATCAAGAAGCAGAGGATAAGACTAAGGAATGACAATTTTTTTACTTTTCCTGGCTCAGCTGACACCTCATAGCCTTCAATAATTAGTAAAGTGGATGACAAAAAAGAATGTACAATCAACAGTATTTGATGCTGTGTAGATATTTTAAGTTGTCTAAAATGTTCATTGTGCAAAAACTTTTATAAAAACCTGTGTTATCTGCAAATTGATCAGAGCACAGGCCCAGCAATAGAGACAACAAATAATGCACAAATTTTTCCTAGTTTTTTCTTACCTCCAACTGTATGTGTCTGCCACTGATAGAACAATATTGTCTCCATAACTCCTGTGTGGAAATACATCTAGAACAAAAACATTTTATTCTAAATCAATTTAATTTCGTGAAAACACTCAATTGGTATGTGTCTGCCACTGATAGAACAATATTGTCTCCATAACTCCTGTGTGGAAATACATCTAGAACAAAAACATTTAATTCTAAATCAATTTAATTTCGTGAAAACACTCAATTGGTATGTAAAGTTAATTTTTGACACTAATTATTTTTTTTCAAATTGAGTGTCATTTCATTTAATGCAACTATTTGATTTCTACCAGCAAATCTATTCATAAAATGCCATAACATACAGTTCTTTACTTATACATATAAGCCTTCTATTCATAAATTAATTTGAAAGGAATCTTCATATTTTTTAGTTTAACAAGTGGTTTCATCAATAAACCAGCACTATTGACCGCAGTTAAATTTAAACAATAAGCCATCTAAGAAGCATCTTCAAGAAACTATAGTGACAATAAGTTGTAACGTCTTCTCAATTTTTATTAATTTTTCAATATTCTAATCCCGAATCCTTTTATAACTGTACCTTGTTTATTTACAAGAGAACCTGAGCTAACACACACACACAGAAAAACAGAGAGATCATGGACAAATGTTGATGATAATGACTGTCTTACATTGAGGAAATCAATCATATCCTGCAGCAGAAGTATGCCATTACCATCCTGAGTCTTTCATCAAAGAATGAGCTAACATATCAATACAAAAGACAATTAAGCTCCTGGATTTGCCAAGAAACTTTGGGTTGCTATTTTTGCTTTTCCTATAATGTGTAAGTGCTCAAAATGCATTTATGAAATGATGATTTACTTAATTCATGATAGAGGTCTATACATATGATGGTAGATTATCTCCAACCCACACAATAAAGCAGAGTTGGAGTCAACAAGTCTTATGGCAGGTTAAATACAGTGTATAGGATTGAATATGATGTAAGACAGTCAGTATTCACTACATATTTAATTGATCTCTCTTGATCCTTCTCTCTCTATCTCATCACAAACCAAAATCCAGGCATTTGCACTGATGTAGTTTTTAGATTTACTGTAACACATTATCATTTTCCTTCACTTACTAATTGTTACACGCATATTGAACAGTAATTATAGCTATAATCTACAGTATACTGTCACCATTATTTTCATATACAGGAATACAGGTAGAATTATTCCTGACCTTCATATCATGGTTCATGTTCATTCCTAGATCACTGCCCATGTTGTGTCCTGCGTGGGGGTCTCCGATACTACCGCTTCCCATATCGTGCCCCGCGTGTGGATCTACTGTGTTGTATGTTGCGTTGCCCATATCATGGCCTGCATGTGGGTTTATGGTCACAGACATATTGTGCATGGAATGATTCTAGAAATAGAATAAAAAAACAGCATGGATTAATTTTAAAGAGATGTCATTAATGTTTTACCTGTAAAATATGTTTGAAAATCTTCCATCATAGGTTTTTGCAAAGCAGTAATTTTCTCTTATTGCAAAAAATCGATTTCTTCACGTATAACCACCTATCGTAAAAATTTCATCAAAACTTGTGAAGAATTTTTTAAAATATAACAAACCACTAACATAAAGACCAACTGATGCACAGATATACCAACACTAATGAAAATGTAGCCTCCACTGGTGAATGTACCAACAAAGCCTGACAAGATGGGACATATGAAGTGACACCTGCTATAACCTGACCGGGAATGTGGTCTTGGCTAGGACAGTAAGGCTAAACTTCTATCTCTCAAGACTGAAGAGATAAGCTTTATATATATATCCCTAGTATATAGAGTCAGCTAAGGAGTGGTCATCTCATACCTTTAGAATTAAACCCCAAATGTAAATATCATGGCAAAATTCACACCAAGGCTAAAGTGCCCTCTGTGGATGGGTGAAGTGGTGGTAGGGTAGGGAGGGGTGCAGAGACTTTAAGTAACACAGCAAGGCTGTCAACTAAGATCACAGTACAAAATTAACAATTAAATTTTGGGGGATGTTCAGCTCTTTATAGATTGTGAAACTTGTTTGAAGCTTATAGAATGTTAAATGCATTGTTCTCACCGGACCATATGTACCCAATATGTGGAACACACAGATGTGCAATACCTACCTAGTATCAACTGAGACCATCTTTTTGGTTATCTGAGGCACTGGCCAGGACTATCCTAGAGACACACTTGTATCATGTGATGTGTGTTTATTAAATGTGATGTAAATTGATTTTATATATAATTGCCAGACTGGCTAGCTGAATGACCACCCAGACAAGCTTACTGACCACTGTCAGTCACTGTGGTCAGTGTGGGTCAGTGCACGGTCACAGTGGACTGCATTTGTCCAAAATCTCTCATTTGTGAGCACTGATTTGTTAAAATATGATCTCAAGATAAGGCACATCAGTCTGGAAGATATCAGACTAGTGCCATCTCTATAAAAACACAAAAAGACAGCATTCATCGAGATAAGAAATGCACTAAGTAGCTATAAAGATAAAGGCAACTCATCTCAGATAAACTGGCATAAACTGATAGTCATTCTATACTATCTCAGACCAAAAAAAAAAAAAATAAATAAATAAATAAATAAATAAATAAATAAATAGATNCTTTGAGACCCTCGTACAATGCAGCCAGAATGAAGATTCCTATGCAGGATCCTACCATGGCTAAAAGGGAGATAATCTTGAAAGTTGAGAATTTCAAAATATGCAAATTAAAAGATGAAAGTTCAATGAAAATTTTATACTGGTACAATACATTTTCTTAATGTCAAAATACAGTAATTATCAATAATATATCAACAGCCATAGTCAAAGTAAAGATAAACATGAAACAAGTTATATACATGTGAATCATAGATCAAAGACTGCAGCAAGAAGCAGAGGAACAGACTAGGGAATGACATTTTTTATTTTTCCTGGCTAAGCTGACAGCTCATAGCCTTCTGAATCAATAATAGTAAAATGGATGACAAAATGAATGTACAATCAACAGTACTTGATGCTATCTAAAATGTTCATTGTCCAAAAATGTTATGAAAACCAGTCTTATCTGCAAATTGATCAGAGCACAGGCTCAGCAATGGAGACAACAAATACTGCACAAGGTTTTTCTAGTTTTTTCTTACCTCCAACTGTATGTGTCTGCCACTGATAAAACAATATTGTCTCCATGACTCCTGTGTGGAAATACATCTAGAATAAAAACATTTTATTCTAAATCAATTTAATTTCGTGAAGTTCTCAATTGGTATGTAAAGTTAATTTTTGACACTAATTATTTTTTACAAATTGAGTGTAATTTCATTAAATACAACTATTTGATTTCTACCAGCAAATCTATTCATAAAATGCCACAACAGCCATACATGCAGTTCTTTACTTATATATATAAACTTTCTATTCATAAATTGATTTGAATCTTTGTATTTTTACATTTTGACAAGTGGTTTCATCGATAAACCAGCACTATTGACCGCAGTTAAATTTATAATAAGCCATCTAAGAAGCATCTTCAAGAAACTATAGTGACAATAAGTTGTAACGTCTTTTCAATTTTTATTAATTTTTCAATATTCTAATCCCGAATCCTTTTATAACTGTATTTTGTTTATTTACAAGAGAACCTGAGCTAACACACACAGAAAAAGGGAGAGATCATGGACAAATGTTGATGATAATGACTGCCTGTCTTACATTGAGGAAATCAATCATATCCTGCAGCAGAAGTATGCCATTACCACCCTGAGTCTTTCATCAAAGAATGAGCTGACATATCAATACAAAAGACAATTAAGCTCCTGGATTTGCCAAGAAACTTTGGGTTGCTATTTTTCCCTTTCCTATAATGTGTAAGTGCTCAAAATGCATTTATGAAATGATGATTTACTTAATTCATGATAGAGGTCTATACATATGATGGTAGATTATCTCCAACCCACACAATAAAGCAGAGTTGGAGTCAACAAGTGTTATGGCAGGTTAAATACAGTGTATAGGATTGAATATGATGTAAGACAGTCAGTATTCACTACATATTTAATTGATCTCTCTTGATCCTTCTCTCTCTCTCTCTCTCTCTCTCTCATCACAAACCAAAAATCCGGGCATTTGCACTGATGTAGTTTTTATATTTACTGTAACACATTATCATTTTCTTTTACTTACTAATTGTTACACGTATATTGAACAGTAATTATAGCTATAATCTACAGTATACTGTCACCATTATTTTCATATACAGGAATACAGGTAGAATTATTCCTGACCTTCATTTCATGGTTCATGTTCATTCCTAGATCACTGCCCATGTTGTGTCCTGCGTGGGGGTCTCCGATACTACCGCTTCCCATATCGTGCCCCGCGTGTGGATCTACTGTGTTGTATGTTGCGTTGCCCATATCATGGCCTGCATGTGGGTTTATGGTCACAGACATATTGTGCATGGAATGATTCTAGAAATAGAATAAAAAAACAGCATGGATTAATTTTAAAGAGATGTCATTAATGTTTTACCTGTAAAATATGTTTGAAAATCTTCCATCATAGGTTTTTGCAAAGCAGTAATTTTCTCTTATTGCAAAAAATCGATTTCTTCACGTATAACCACCTATCGTAAAAATTTCATCAAAACTTGTGAAGAATTTTTTAAAATATAACAAACCACTAACATAAAGACCAACTGATGCACAGATATACCAACACTAATGAAAATGTAGCCTCCACTGGTGAATGTACCAACAAAGCCTGACAAGATGGGACATATGAAGTGACACCTGCTATAACCTGACAGGGAATGTGGTCTTGGCTAGGACAGTAAGGCTAAATCTTTATCTCTCAAGACTGAAGAGATAAACTTAATACATATCCCTAGCACATGGAGCCAGCTAAGGAGTGGTCATCAAATACCTTTAGTTAAACATAATTAAAACCCAAATGTAAATATCATGGCAAAATTCACACCAAGGCTACAGTGCCTTCTGTGGATGGGTGAGGTGGGTGGGTGGGGGGTAGGGGGGGGCAGAGACTTTAAGTAGCACAGCAAGCCTGTCAACTGAGATCACAGTACAAAATTAACAATTAAATTTTGGGGGATGTTCAGCTCTTTATAGATTGTGAAACTTGTTTGAAGCTTATAGAATGTTAAATGCATTGTTCTCACCGGCCCATATGTACCCAGTATGTGGAACATACAGATGTGCAATAACTACCTACTATCAACTGAGACCATCTTTTTGGTTATCTGAGACACTGGCCAGGACTATCCTAGAGACACACTTGTATCATGTGATGTGTGTTTATTAAATGTGATGTAAATTGATTTTATATATAATTGCCAGACTGGCTAGCTGAATGACCACCCAGACAAGCTTACTGACCACTGTCAGTCACTGTGGTCAGTGTGGGTCAGTGCACGGTCACAGTGGACTGCATTTGTCCAAAATCTCTCATTTGTGAGCACTGATTTGTTAAAATATGATCTCAAGATAAGGCACAGCAGTCTGGAAGATATCAGACTAGTGCCATCTCTATAAAAACACAAAAAGACAGCATTCATCGAGATAAGAAATGCACTAAGTAGCTATAAAGATAAAGGCAACTCATCTCAGATAAACTGGCATAAACTGATAGTCATTCTATACTATCTCAGACCAAAAAATAAATAAATAAATAAATAAATAAATAAATAGATAAAAGAAGGTAACTACAAAGGAAACAGAAAGGGGAAAGAGTAACTGCTCACTGGGCATTGGCTACAGTAACATTACAACAGTTTTACAACAAAATCTGTTGGAGATTACACTGTGCCGAGACATGCTGTGGAATGAACACATGCGACAATACAAGCTGGGTATGTGGCAAACAATCGGTAACAATTACAAAGCCGCAGCATTCAATGGTCAATTTTCCATAATAAGTACCTTGGTGTATGTCTACTCATGATGCCTTATCTCTAGCCAGGGAGAGCAGTAGACCTTTTAATCTTTCCACTCGGTTGATGACAATGGTAAAAGAGTCCCGTCATTTAAATTAAACCTATGGAGGCTGTGTTCACAGTAGAGCTAAGTTAGATCATAGCCAGTTTATATTATATATGACAGCTAGGTTTCATATTCTAAGGCAGTGCTGTTGTGTCTTTATGTATCAAATATAATATTAAATATAATATTTTTTAAAATTTTATCTTTAAGAAACACTTTACTTGATTGTCATCTCATTTCATTTAATGCATTTTACAATTGTATTTATCTATAATTTATCGCACAATCCATATCTAATTTTATTTAGCTGCAAATAAATAAATAATTAAACTCAGACTGCAATAATATTCTGACTTCCTAGACCTGAAAGCTGTGCACATATCCAAAATGTCAAGTAATTTCTTCTAACACCAGATGGTTATAAAAACCTGTCTATGTAGCTTGGCACTCAGAAAAAAAGGTTGAAAATTGATGTTGATGAAAGTTGATGTCATACCAGTATACTGACAGTGCTTCCAAAGCCATGGGATACATGATCCATGACAACTGATTTTTGTGACTTCCTTTCATGATCTGACAAAAAGCATCCCTTGTTACAGATCAACTCTGTTATTGAAACTTACCAGTAGATCAAGGAACAAATTTAATATACAAATTGTGTGTTTTTGTGTGGGGGGTGTCTATCAAACCTACCAAAGCGTTTAATATGGAAGGTTGACACTGCTGGTATCTTCCTGTCTCACTGCTTATTAACAACTATATGTAGAAAGAAAGACGTACATGATGTCGTGACGTATCACGTACATAAACTTATCATTCGATACCCTCATTATGAGGCTGTTCTATACTTCACCTGTGGACTAAATATGGTTTACCTGCATGCACGATTTTAAAAGCATCAACATTTGTGGAAAACTGATCCTGAAGGATATATGTCTCTAAAGGAAAGCAATAAATTTGACAGAGAGGGAGACCTAAAGTAATCTCAACAACATATCTTGTTTAGTTGCCAATGATACGGACATCCAGTCATGTGCACCAAGTCAGATTGCAATCTGCACGCAGGCTGCTGCAAAGTCGAGAAGACAGTTATCTGTTTATTTTGATAGAAATGGTTTGTAGGAACATAACATGATGTTTCTCAAGTATACAATTTTGGCTTATATCTGTATAAATATCAAATGAATGTGGGGAAGGGGGTGGGGGTCAAATATTTGTATTTCACTAAAAATGGATGTGGGCAGGGTGGGTCATGTGCCAGTCACTGCATTAAAAGACGGAAGCTGTTTTTCATGAAAGTGACCCAATTTCAGAGTCGAAAGAATCAAGTGAGAAAAATGCCTGACTAACCAAAAGTACTTACACAGTCAATTAACACTTCTTTCTTAATTCCTACTTATTCTGCTACTGCTTTAGTTCTGAGATAAGTGAGATATTCACCGTGACACGCGTCATAACTTTTATCATCACCCATCTCACCTGCATAAGTGTGCTTATCTATAATGCAGATCACGGAATAGTGAGACTGAATTCCAAGTTGTGTTTTTTTTTTTGCCTAAAATGCTTTTCTTAAGATTTTTTCCCCAATTTGTCAGTTGAGGTGTGCTGGATCTGTTTTTTTTTTTTCATTTTGTTTTGACTAAATAACTATATATATTTCACAAGATCAAAAATTATAAATCATATGTGGGCAACATTTTTTTCTACACTTCACACACACTACACTTCAACTTGAACATTTTATAGTAGTTTTGAAAATTTATCATCAAAGTGCAAAATGTGACATTAAACCGAGTCTTTTATGTTCAGCAAATATTATTCAAAAATATTAATGGTATATACATTAATGGTATACATATGTATACACACTACTTGGTATACTTACCATTGTGACTTGGGATTTTCCTCTTCAGTCCTAGCAGGAGGATACTCTGGCTATTATTTGTCCTGTTTAATGTGGCTGGTGTATATTTATGTAGGCACCCAACTTTCACTGCTTCGCTGCACTTACTTTGTTGTTATTCAATAAAGTGTTTGTGCAATCAAATCTTTTTCACTGTCCAAAAATCATAAAATCCTGTCAACCAATTGGAATGCAGAATGTGCTCCCATAAACTTTTTTTTGGTTAGTGATTGCCAACCATGATTAATGAGATAACTTATTTTCTGTGGTTAGAAGGAAAAATACTCTTGTCGTGGTGTCTTCTATTGGAAGTGATCTAAATGACACTGAAATTGAAAGAGTATTGACACGCGTTAGACATGCCATTGGCATTAAACATGATGTGTTAAGTTACATAAAATTACATACAGTTCTTAGAAAAAGTAGATAAAAAAAACGTAAGAATCAGAAAAACAGTTAATGCTTTTTTTCTTCATTCATCTCCCTTGGGGTAGAGTTACCACAAAGAACAAAGCACTACTTCCTTATCACTTTTCAACCAACCAGTCCCATTCTAACAACGAAAAGGAAACAGAAACAAGGCAACTAAAGGTCTAAATGGGACAAATTCAAAACTAGCCATGTCTTTACATTTTTCTTTTCTTTTGTCTTTTCTTTTCTTTAATTTATAATTCTTTTATAACTATGAACTCATCTTTGATAATTTTGGCATTATTTTGGTTTTACAACCTTTAACAAAGCTTTGGGTGCATTCCCAGAGATTTAGATCGATCCAGAGATTTAGATTTAGATCAACCTAACTCCCTGGGGGTTCACGCTAAATTGCAGTCAGCTGAGCGTGCACCATAGTTAATTACCCCCTTACAGCTTTAGTAGGCGGGGCAGATGCTTAAGCCGGCTAATCTAGTGAGACTCCCCACAGGGATAGATCGATCTAAAATCTTTGGGAATGGGGTCTTAGAGATAAATATCTCTTTTCCTCATAGATCTTTGATGTCATATGTACAAGAACTTTATTACAGGTGCAATGATTTCAGTCTTTAATCTTTAGTTTTTTTTAGCTAACATAGGTTGTCAGTGCCCACAAGGTCAATCATATTGAAAAAATTCATCAAAGGAATAATATGATCATATCTAGTTATGATAGTGACCTGCCTTTTAAGGCAAAAATAAACCATCAAGTTTAAATCGAAATGGTAACTTTCCTTCCCAGTTTGCTTTTGAAAAATCATATTTAACAGCTTTCCTCATGCCTCCACCAGACTTACCAACCTTAAATCTTCCTTTTCTGACTCTAACTATAATTTCGTAACAATTTTGGAAAAGGCAAGATCAAATTCCGAACTTAAGCGCAGGTTTTCAGGGGCAGATTGAGGCCATCTTCTGGGTCTTCTGGAAGATGGTCAGAATTTTTCAAGTTTACATTGACAGGTATATAATTTTTCTGTTGTAAGACAGTCAAAACAAGGATGAATAAAAGAGCCAACTTGTCAAGACTGTCAGAAAACACCTCTGGATCCACCCCGGGTTTTCTAGATACACCGTTCATTCCACGACTCCACTTCCAGATCTCATAAGACTCTTGTGCTGTGACCCACATTACTTTCAAACTGTGTCAAGATGCCTGACTACTGAGGTTAGGCAGGGAAGGGTAAATATAACTTTTTTTTTTTTGCGATATTGATTATTTCCCTCAAAAGTTCAACCAGAAGCAATTCATGCACTAAGAATGTATTCAAAATCCTGGCTTGGATCACTTTAATGTACCCAAGAGTGGGCAGGAAATCCTGTAATAATACCAGCATATCAACCTGTTCATGATTCAAATCAATTACCACCATAATAATGTACATGACTCTGAACACTGGATAGCATAATTACAGACTAGTGTTATTCTATCATATAATCAGGGAGGTTTCCATGATGCACATTTGTAATAAAAAGCGAGATTTGCCTTATCTTCAGTAGATATCCCATACCCAAGTTACATTTACATTAAACATCCACATATGGGAGAGCCTTGCCACTTTGCTATCTTAAATTCTTCTTTATCATGTACAAGTACATTTTCCTTTTCTTTATTATAAACCCCTACAGCAATGGAGGGTTTAAATGTAGCATTAAAAAAAAAAGCTAAAAGGAGTACTATTTATTGCAAATCATCCCTCCCATCTAAGATGCAAATTAAGTGGTTACAGATCCGACAATCATAAGGTTGGTCATGCCCGCGAGCATTCTTTTTAGCCATGCTCTGACTTGCAGATCTTGTGTGTGATGTGTACACTGTAAATGTGATCCAGATCTGTTATGGTAACAATGTCCTGTTAGTAACTGGCTTTGGAAAAAAAACTTCCTGGTTTCTGTTTTTGAGGAAACAATTGGCCACATCATACTAATACATAAATCTACAGAGGACAAACGCCAAGGACAAATACTGGCTGTACACTGACAGTCAATTAAATTTAAAAACCAATAACTAGTACAAGCCTGCCAATAATTCATAGATTTATCTATTTTTTTTTCTTTCCATCTTCAGAATTATTCATTTACGTTTTATTTTATTTTTCTTTTCAAAAATCATTTTATTTTTACTTCTACAGATAATATCTAAGGCCCCATTCATAGGCAGTCTACACAAAGTTTGGTCAATTTACACAGACAAATAGGAATACTGGTAGGGTTGAATTTATGTGTAAAAGCAGTTTTTACTGACAAAACCAAGACACCTTTACATACCGCATTTGTATACAGGGGAAACATTGTGGAGCTTACATTTTAGCAGTGCAAAGTAGCTTAAGGCAACCTGGGCAAACGCTGGTTGTAAGCATATATGTACATGTACATTTTGTAAGCTTCAAGCCTACAAATATGTTTTGCTCTACAAATAACGATCTTTGGACCTAGAATAAAAATATAATACCAGCAATGCCAAAATATACCACACTGTTAAGGATTAACAGACAAGACGAGAATGTTCATAACCGTTTCTGATTGAACATTTGTGATGTGATCTGAAAGATGGCCATTTATTTTGTTCTCTTCATTGCTCATTATACATGGCGTCTATCTACTAAACCCTAGGATAGGTAGTAGCTTTCGTTTACTTCAATCTCAAAACTGGGGCCCTAATATCTCTAAAATGACATAAGGTAACAACGATAAACCTACCTTTAGACTCCTGGTTTGTTGAAATGGTCCATATGCTGTGCACGTCTACCGCTTGTCACTGTTTGTCCTGGAACAACACTACCAGGATCTGCGTCACGTAACTCCTTGTTGCTGACCCGGAAGTCCTTCATTCAAAGCCCAATCTAGATTTTTCAAAGCCGACGGTTATTCATAAATTGTTTAGCCATACTATTACACTACCATTCGAGTAACCCCAACTTAAACTTCATTTTTGACTAATCATATGATTTTCAATGATTTATTGTAATATATTTCCTATTATTATTCCGGTGTGCATATTTGTTTTCACTGCCTTGACGAAACTAAAATTAGGCCTGACACCGACCTTGTATGTCCTATGTTCCTGTCTTGTGACTTTCTTCAAAGGAACTCCAAACAAAACATTCGATTCATGCCTATCATGTGAAGGATCATGTCGTTTTTTACTGCAGATGACGATGACCAGGATTTCTCGCTAACTGGAGGCGGGTGAGATATTTGGGATGTGATTATGTTGTTTTATCAAAGAAAAAAAGGTTCACTTCCTGTTCACAGATGAGTTGGGGGTGGTGACAAGTAGCGGTTGTCACACGGGAATTTGGAGGCATAAACACACTTGAATAAATAAAAATGATATTGGAATTAGCCGGTTTACTTTTCACATTGATTTAGTCAAAATATGTCAAACAGTCTTGTGCTCTTTATGGAAGATCCGCAAGCATTAATAAACTGTTTTGCTTTTATTTTGCCCCTTAATTATCAAATCGCTCACCAATTTATACATGATTCCAGCTCCAAACTAGCCTCTATATTTGGCATCGACCAGGCTTCCAATCAGGGTGGCAATGAGTCCCTGAAGTACACTGCCCCAAAGCAGCCCAGACCAGCCCAGGCACAGCCTCAAGGGGGCGCTCCTGCAGTACTCCATGCCTGTGCTGTACAGACATATAAATTGTGAGTATGCTAGGATGGTGCATAGTTATTGAAATAGGAATTTTTGTTGTGTGTTTTTTTCATGCATTCTACAACACAACTCAATTTAGTATGGATGGCATATTGATTGATTTTATCAATATGTCATGTAAATCTACTGTAGACAGTGTTTCACTCACATAAACTGATGAATGTTGACTGGTGTTTATTATCACGTAAAGGAAGTTTTCAAACACTATAATGTAGTTTAGGTTTTATTTTAGAGTGAAATCTTTGAAAGGATTGGCATTTAGGACTTTATTCTAGTTTATAAATAGATACTTTATCAGTTAACAAACAATTTAAACCTGTTTTGCTGAAGTTAAGGGGCTAGTATTGTTACCACACATCTTGTAAAGGAGACTTTCCTCTGTTCCAGTGTAAACAATCAGTATGCCAGCCAGGGAAAACTTGGTGCTGCTATAGTGGGTAGTCATGAAGCAAAAGATGTAAGTATCTATACATTTTTGGTGCCTCTTAAAATAAATAAACCATTGCAGATATTTATAATAGAGGGATAAGGAAAAAAACAGATCAATTATCAAATATATTTCCTGATTGCAACAGCAGGTGTGCTTATAATACTAAATACGTGCGTTTATTACGACAAGTATTAATGATAATGTTGATTAAAATACCTTTCGAAATATTTGCATTGTTGAATAATTTAAAATGAGACAAATCAAAATACTTGATAAAAAGTATTTGATGTGCATAAAAATAAAGAATACAATTTACTTTTTGAATGAGTTGTGTAATGTTTCTGTCATGACCTGCATCAATATTTCCTTTTAGTACAAGTTGCTTCTCTATGTCAGCAAGCAACAGCAAGTTACCACAGCAAGAATTTCTTCTAGCTTTAATTTTACAGTGAGTGACTTTTTATCATTAGCATAAATATGTATATCTGATTATTATATATATATACTGGTATATTACTGTGAGCATCATGGCATGTCAGTTGAAGTGTGAATTTATTTACTTGTGTATCCTAAATAGCATGGTTTATGAATGTCAGGATTAAGAGCAAACAATATATGAAATATAATGATAAGTAGAATCTTTTCCTTGGTGTAATGCATTGCTTTTATATTAATTCCAGATTCAAGCCAACAATTATGCTAACTTCTATGATGATGCCAGACAGAACTGGTCTCTCAACTTTGACAGCACTGATAGTGCAGTGCAATTTGCAAAGCATGTAAGTCAAAAACTAAAAAGGTATAAGAAGTGATCCAAAAAAAATTTTTTTGAATTTTTTTATGTGATTACATTTTCAGTATCCCTAGTTCTATACTGTTTTAGTTTTCATGTCCATTCAAATCACTTTACTTAGGGTGAAAAGTAAAGAATTGAAGCAGTGCTTTCACTGTAGATATTGGACATGTTTCACAGGAACACATAATGTAGACATTTCTTTCACCTATCTTGTTTATGTGTTCTAAGGTTGCTCTGGCCAAGGCCAACAGTTCAGGCAATGCTCTCACAGGCACTGTATCTCAGGAGCTTGTCTTGGGCGATGGTGGTGCCCTTGAGAGTGGGGATAGTGCAGAGGTGAAGTATACAGGCTGGCTGCTGCAGAATAATACTTTTGGGCAGGTAAGTAGAGAGTGGTCAGATTTCCCTTGCATCAAGCCTTTTGAGAGTTGTGATAGAATCCATTACTGAAAAACATTTTCTTGTAATTTTATTATATTAAAATGTGTCTTGTCTAAAAAAAGTGTTTTTACTTCAGGTGTTTGATAGTAATGCTAGTGCAGAAAAACTTTTCCGATTCAAGGTTGGGAAAGGAAAAGTCATAAAGGTAAGATTCATATTTGAAAATAATGGTAAGTAATGATATAATTGAAACAAACATGGGTATGTATACCACATAACCAGTTAATAGTATTTAACATACATGTAAATCACTGTAATATTTTAAAAAACTGATCACTGATTTTAGAGTGCATTTTTAAATGAAAAGGCTCTGTATTTTAAAGATAAATCATTTGAAATGATTGTTTTCATGTGTTGCTCAGGGCTGGGATGATGGTGTGATAGGAATGAAGAAAGGCAGCAAACGTTTGCTGATCATTCCACCTCACCTGGCCTATGGTACACAGGGTATGGGGGCCAGGGTACCGCCCAGCTCTACTCTCATATTTGAGGTAGAAATTGTCAGGGTAGGTGAGCTTGTTATCTATAGAATAAGTATAAGAGAGTGTTCTAAAACTGTGTTTATGTTGCTCAAAAAGCTGGATGCTGACAGAGAGAAACATTGTAATTCTTTCAAGGGGCATTTCAGAACCAGTTAGTGTGCACTGGTACTGAGCACTAATTCCATGGGGGGACTCGCTGAATACAATCAGATTAACAGACTAACGTGCCTTTTTCTGGCTTTGAGTAGATCAGGGAATTATATCTGATATAATTCCCTGAGTAGATACAGAGAAGCTTGTGATAATATGAAAACTTTAGAAAAAAGAGGGGGAATGATGTCAGCCTGTTTAAATGTGGCTCTCAAGCTTATAAGTTTCAATCTTATGAATGCACCATACAAGTTGAATTTAGATATAATTAATATTATTATTATCATTAAGAGTATTTTGTCCTCCACCAGGTGAAGCTATCCAAGGAACATGTCCCTGAGCAGGCATCCAGTAGTGCCACTCCTCCCCCTGCTGCCAGCCTTGACATCCCAGAGACACACCAGGAAGATTCAGTGAAGTCTAGGAGCAAGTCCATCACAGAGCAGCTCTCACATGTAAGCAGAAATAGCCACTGTTTGCACTATTTTTATTGTTTGAAAATCTACTTATCAGTCTCAGTATGCTGTTTAAGCTGTAGGGGATTTTTAATTTTGATATTATTTGGTAATATATTTAGTAATTGTGAGGCACAAAAAAAAAAAAAAAAAAAAAAAAAAAAAAAAAAAAAAAGCCAGACATTGAAATTTTAATTTGTAAGTGCAGGATGGAAGGTTTGGTGGGCAGAATCATTTTGAACGGGTCATAATCATGCAAATCCCAACACCTAAAACAGACAATTTGTTCCTGGAAACATTTAACACAGACATTTGACAGATAAATGGTAAAATCTTGAAAGTTGAAAATAACAAATGTTAAAATAATGACATGTTAAGATATATTTTACAGCACAGCAGTGATAAGGCCAAGCTAATCTCTCGTATGAAGAAGATGGGTCAACCTATGTTGCCACTAGGTGGGGCTGTGGCTGCTGAGCCAGATACAGACGAGGAACCAGTATCTGTAAGTAAAGTGTAGATTGTGTAAGGTGTATAGACAGTGTAACTTATATTCCAAGTCCACCAAGAGGTGTTTAACTTGATCTGTGCTAGGGTGGTTTTAACAACAAAATAATAAATGTATCAAGGACCATTCCCATAACCTATCGTACTAACTTTGGATCGATCTATCTCCAAGGGGATTATCGCTAAATTGCTATCAACTTAAGTGGCTTAACTGACTGTCACGCCTACTAAAACTGTTAGGGGGTGATTAACTACCAGAGGCCGAGCGTGCCGAGCTGAAGTTAATTACCCCCTAGCTGATTCAGTAGGCGTGAAAGATATTTAAACTGTTCAAGTTGTTAGCAATTTAGCGTGAATCCCCATGGAGTTGGATCGATCCTGTTGAATTGATCTAGGCATGGGAACCCAGACTTAGTTTTGGTTATCAGGGAACATATGAATGTCAATTGCAATTATCTTTTGATTTACCTAGACTGGTTAGGAATCTAATGTTTAATTCCTGAAAAAATGAAAGTTTTCTTTTTAGAGAAAATGATCTGACTTGGTACTACAATTACACTATCATATTTGCCAACTAAATTGTAATGTGTGCTACCTGGACAGAACTAATATACCAAATATTCATCATGATGTGTTGATATTCCTTGAGAAAGCATGGTCATTTATAAAGACAGCATAGTGCATACACCTTATCAGACTTCACACACTCATCATGAACCACCTAAGGCATTTTATTGGCCTCCATCAACAAAGTTCTCAAAAAATTCTCCTCTAGTTTTGCTAAAACTTTCAGGATAGCCAATAATTCAGGAGAGAAAGAAGTGATAACAATTTCAGTAGAATGGTGATCTAATATTAAAGATAATTTTTTGTCATCCCTTTCAGTAATTATCTTTCTCCTTGGCAGAGGCCTTCATTCTTACAAAGTTTTCTAGTAATTTTTACAGTATACACTTTCTTCCATTCAGGAGAGCCCCTCACCTGCTCCTGTTACAGAACAGCCTCAGCTCTCAGCTCATGTTGCCCAGCCACAGCCACAGAAACCAGTCCCAGCAGCAGCAGCATTCCAACCTACAGTAACAGCACAGCATCAGCAGCCTATCATGGTCAGTCAGCCAGTGGTGCCACCTATGGCTACTGCTGCTGCGCCAGTATCGTCACAAGTTGCTGTCTACCAGTCACAAATACCAGGGATGCCTATGCAGCCACAATTCCAGGTAAAGATTTTAATACAATTGGAGTAGGAAGTGTGTGTGTGTGTGTGTGTGTGTGTGTGTGTGTGTGTGTGTGTGTGTGTGTGTGTGTGATTTCTTGTTATGTCTTTATCCTTAATTACAGGTGCAGCTATTCCATCTGCAACTTTTTTCATCTTCTTATTATTTTAAAGACAGAGAGGAGTTGTCTACACATTTGCCTTCCTAAGCTGATATATGTGTATATTATTCTAGCCGCCATTCCAGCAGCCGTATGGTTACCAACAGCCACCTCCTCCACAGTATAGCAGCATGTATCAGCAGTTCCCAGGTAAACAACTCATTTATCATGTACTCAATATTACAGTTCTGCTTTGTTAATATTAAACTTAGACTTTAATATTTCTGCACATGATTGTTGAATGATAAGAGATCCTTCATCCTGTGTACTTTGTTCATATTTTGCATGATTTGAATATGAAATGCTGACATGGCATAATCCCAAAAGAGTGACAGATAAAAGATATTATTTTACCATGCAGTGTTTATAAGAAGGTCCTATGTACTCCTTGCTGATTAGCATTGATAACTTATCTTTATTGTATTTTTTTATGTCTTTAATTTAAATACAGATATAGTAAAGAAGAAGAAGGTCATGCTTCTAACAGCACTGTAGTGTTAAAAACAAGATATGTAAAAAAGTTTTCCACGAATTTTGAAGAAATTTTCAGCAGTTATTTAAGAAGAAATATCAACTGCATCCAGGTCCTCAAATATTAAAAAAGAAAATTTCTGTAATCCTCATCAGCAATTCTCTTTTTTCCTTGACTGAGGTCTGCACTCTTGAATTACTTTCTTCTTTAAAATGACTCAAAATCTTAGAAATATACTAAACATAATTCAACTCAATGAATATGTGGGTGCATGGTTAATGTTTCTAGCACAACCCCCAGTGTCACAACCATACCATCAGGCTGCCCCCCAGCCACCCCCAGGGGGTGATGTGACCACACCCATCCTTATGTCTGAGACAAGACAACAGAACACAGAGATCAGGCTAGCCATTGGGAAGATTGCAGACAAAGTAGATGAGGTGCATAAGAAGGTGAGATCATAATATAATGAATAGCCAGCTTAAAACTTTCAGTGAAAAAATAGTTTAAATAAATGTTTCTGAAGTATTTTAGCCTAATTTGTTTTTCTGTTGTAAATGATTTAAATTTTACTTTGGTGAGCAATTTTAAGAGATAAACCAAGTTTTATTATTATTTTTTTAATTTCAAGATCTGATATTCATGGTATAAATCATAATTATATACTTGTCTTCTTCTTCCTAGTCCTCTTTTTGTGAGAAAGGGAACTCAAATGAAGAAATAAATCTAATGATTGGAGATTGATTGATTGATTGATGTGTATATGAATAATATCACTGGAGACCACAGTTGTTAAATGAAAATATCTTCATGAATCATGCATTTTTTCTATACACTCTGTCATTCTAGTTAGATCATCTGCAAGTCCATGGAGGAGGTTCAAGTCTGGCTCTGCCTGGAAACCTACCCAACATGGAGGCAGGGGTTCTGTTACAGAATATACAGAGAATAATACAGGTAACCTGCTCTCATTCTCCTGCACCCTTACAAACCCCACCCCCACCTCCACCTCCACCCTACCCCTTAGAAATAAAATGGAATCACCTTTTATGAAATGAATTACAATTTTTAAATATTAAAATATTACAATAGAGATTAAACATGGTACCTATGAGACATTGCATTTCAGGGCTTCTGTTCACTGGAGACTGTGAAAACCCTGTGAAAATGTCAAATAACAATACTTATGTGAAGTTTTAAATCTAGCAAAATATATAGAGAATAATACAGGCTAAATATGTGGGTCCCATTACAACTGAAGTATATTCATGACTTTTTAAAGACCTAAATCTAAGATGTAAAGAAAAGAAAAGTGTATTAAAATTGACAAATGCAGCTGAATTATTTGGTGTTATTGTAACAAGCATATTGATTAGCATATTAAAAGTTTTTACTTTAAACTTATGTATAATGTCTTGAAGATGATAATGGAGCTTCTTTTTCAGGAAAATGAAAGATTGAAGAAGGAAATATTTGAAAAGAGTGCAAGGATAGAGAGTCAGAATGAGAAAATTGCTGACTTATTACAAAGAAATCAGAGGTAATTACATTTTTCTGCTGAAAAAAATTAAAAACAGTATTTAAGTTGTTTTTTATTTGACAGTCAAATTATTCTTAATCATGCTTATTATGAGCTGTCAAATTTTAATTATTATAATTACATGTTGAGGGTGATCATTATTATGATCAGAATACAAAGGCAGCAGTTAGCTTTCAGTATCAGTACATGACTTTAACCATGATGGAAAGAATTGAGAATTTAAAACTGAAACAATTGATTTTGTCTATGTGATGTTTCATTATAACAATTATTATTTCCAGTTTTGTAGAACAAAGCAATGTGATGTTAGAACAGAGAAATGATACATTTAAAACAACAGCCGCCCAGTCTCAATCCAGAGTACTGGCTCTTGAACAGGAAAAGGTAGTGGTGATAAACAAACACTATTACTTTCTGTAGGAGTATTTTTTTTTTTTGTTTCCAGTCTGGATTTGTTGTAGTTAATCACATTGTCACCAGACTTTGACTGGTGTTCTTATACAAAGATTTGGAAAAGCCTGACAATTTTAATATAAAAAGATCTGTAAGTATGGTATGGTACATGTATGTCTAATAACTTAGTAATATATGTATCATTTAAAATTGTTGTAAATGTTAACGTCTTTGCATAGCAGACCCAAATATAATGACTATCTTGCAGTATATACAATATGTATTGAGACTGTTTTCATTGTTTTATCCATCATTTCCACCCATATTTCAGGTGCAGCTCACCACAGAATTAAGTGCGGCCACAGCACAGATCAGCACCCTGCAGCTGGAGATGAACTCTCTGAGGAAGAAAGAAGTTGAAGTAAGGCACCAGTTGTCTACATCTCTGGCAGATGGCCAACATCAAAAGGATGACCTGGATCACCTAAGGATGCAGCTGTCAGGTATACTTCAGTTGTAATGGGATCAACACATTTAGCCAGTATTATTATCTGTAATTATTCAACTGTTTACAGCAGTTTATATGCCTACATTTTCTCCACTTGTCTTTTTTTTTCTATAGATTACATGCATATTCTAAATTTGAAATTTCCTACTTTTTGCCTACAACCATCGTGACTAAATCTTTCCACTGAGTGAAATTCCTCAATTCTTAATTAGGTTTTTTGCGTTACAGTTGGAGGAAATATAAAAATGATATTTTGATTTCAGAAAATGAAAAGAAGATTGAACAGCTCAACTCAAGTTGGAAAGAAGAAAAGCAGATGAAGAAGACGTTGGAGAACAAGTTGTCACTGCTGGAGGAGGAGATGGCAGAGTTGAAGACTTCCAATGAAAGTCTAGAAAAGGTATGAAACTGTAGGTTTGATAGTATCGAGTTCATTTAAGAGAATTTTAATAGATCTATTTGGTGATATTTATTATTTCCCCGTTCTTTCTGTAGTTACAAATTTCAGATACTTATCGTCTTTAAGGTTTGCCAATTTCAAGGCAACAAATTTCTCACATCTCTCCATTCATGCTTTCCTGACTTTCTAAATAGTCTGCAAGCGACAGGAAGAAGAAAGCTTTAGAAGAAAAGAAAAGATTTGAAGAAGAATTGGAGGAAGTTAAATCACAATATGAGGTGAGTTATGAGGACTGATCCAACCAAGAGTTCTTGGACCGAAATTTACAAACCAGTATCTCAAAGAGTACCTGGTCTGAACAGAGCTTTTAAGGCCCTTTTTGAAGCTTTTTACACCCAGGACTTTAATATAAGTCTAACATAGATAAGAAATATACAGACTTGACATTTAATATGGAATATTTTTTTCCAAATCATTTTTCATCAGTTTTTTTCCTATTTTGCAGACTGATAAATGAAAATAAGGATTAAAATCGTGTTTTAATAACTTTTAATTATCTCTTTGATGTCATTGTGACATCAGTTCATCAATGGAATTCGCCAGAAAAGCAAACAAAAACACATTGCCTATTCTATGTCATACGACAACCATTAAAAGGGATATTTTGGACCTCCATATTTTCCAAATTATTGTCTGTAAAAGAGTTAAACGCTCCACAAAAGACCCTCATGTCAGTTTGTAGTCACAGTAAAGGTCGCTGTTACGCCTGACTTCTTCTGGCTGCTACTAGCGCTCTCAAGTGGCAAGGTATTCCTTGGGATAGGTTTTTAAAGTTTAATCTGGAATAACATTCCATGCATCGGTCAAAATCTGCCCAATTTGGTCCAATATTGTTGTAGGATATGTAGGCCATTGATTCGGAGAGTAATGGCCTACCAACATATTGTCTCTGTGGTTCAAATATGGCGATTTTGATGACCAAGGTAGCTGCTCATTCCCTTGGTTCTGTAAGTAAACTGCTATTAAAAGTGCTCTGTGTGAACCGGCAATCTCACCATGCAACCTAAAATTGTTCCTAAGTTGTCCCCTATCAAATGATAGCCAAGTGGTTCCCAGATTATTTCTTTAATTGATCTGGTTCAGGTTTTCGTCAATGACTACCATTGGTGTTTTGGCACCAATGTGGTATCCACTCCAAATACTGACGCTGTTAATGACCTTAGTCACTTTAGACGCGGCACACGCTTCGTCGTTGGCCTCTTCTGGATGTCTGTAAACTCTGTTTTGACTGTTGAGCGGTACAGGTGAAATCTGACCTCAATAAAGAAAGCCACGAGATTTCAGTGTTCAACCCAGAAACAGCCAAGGTCCTCAATTCAATAGAGAAACATACAACGATGTTTTGCTGTTTACAGTGGGTTCCTCGGAGGTCGTCTGGTATTCAAACCTGCTAAAACCAGTTTGGTGTTCGCTAAGGGCCTTGAAAAATGCGTTTTGGTGGTAATTTACCCCTCATTCTGAACGGACTTGGTGGTTTTTGTTTATTTGCAACAGCATATCCCGAAAGACAGTGGGTCCTGTACCCTGGTGGTAACATTTCAATACATTGGGTGTGGCCTCTGTGTAGGTACATCAGTCTGGGCATTACTCTGTAAAACAGTGCGGACCGTTTCGTTTGGCGCAATTGCCTACCTGGCAATGCCTGTCTTTTTCCCGCCATTCTGCCACAGATTAACAAATTTGTAGAGCACTGCATAGCTCATTTTACACACTGCAAACCCGACGACTTGCTTGCAAAATTTCAAATTTTTCTATGCAGTAGTTGCCGACATATGGATACTTTTTTGACAGAACCATGCTTTGTCAAAGCCTAGCTTTGAACTGCCCAAAGGAGCACTACCCAATCAAATCACTGCATATTACATAATGCAGCAGCGCAACAAACCTGGTAATCACTTAATTGGTAGCGACACACCTGACTACACACTTCTCCATTCACATATCTTCTATGAGATCGGAGTTTGTGAAAAAAAAACGCATTTTCACCTAGGCGTACATTCGAAACTGAAATATTCCATATTAAATGTCAAGTCTGTAGTAACATGATTTGATTAATAGATACTGTGTATATCAAGTATGCTAAAATAGTAAAAATAATGAAGGAAGTCATGTCTAAGAATGAATGTTTTGATCTTTGAATTCCAGAGTGAAATTCAGATTCTGAAGGATCGGTTAAGAAAACAGAAATCTTCTACAGACAACGTTGCTGCTGAACAGGTAATATTTTTAATCTACAGGAAAATATCATTATGAATAACAAATATTTATAAGAACAAGATGTTGTAATGTTACAGCAGGATATTACTGTGATATCACAGCAGTTTCCTCATATAAGTTAGACAGGCAGTGGCTGGTATTAGTAAGCCTGATTGTGAGTACAATCTCCAAGTGGATGAGATAGAAAATGGGAAAGGCTTTTGTGTGCTTGTGTGTGTGCCCACAAAATAGTGCTATTCTCTGCAGGTTGCTCAAGTAGAACAGGAATTAACACAAGAATGGCAACAGAAGTGTGACAGGCTGGTGTCTCAGGCCAATGATAAACATGCCAGAGCCTTGCTAGAGGTAAAGGAAGAAAAACAACAGCTGGAGAACACAGTGCAAGAGCTGCAGACAAAAGTATGTGGGCCATGATCCACCCCTGCCCCCTCTCTCTCTCTCTCTCTCTCATAGTAGTACAAGTAGTAATAATAGCAGGAATAGTTGTAAAAGTTTATTTACTGAGGTTAAAACACAACAGGTTTATAACATATCTTCCCCATGACCCTTTAATCTCTTTTATCCAAAAAATATTTATTTGATATTTGAAGGAGTAAAATATAGAAGAGATTGATTAAAAGTGAAGCATTGCCATAGTACATGCAGTACTAATCTTTTAAGTACCAGTTGAAATTAGCTTTTAGATTAAGTGTAACTAGAATTTTTTGCTTTTGTTGTAGCTTTTAACATTGAAAAACTCCCGAGGAGACAGTGATAAACAATTGTCTGACCTACAAGAACAAGTAGAAGACTTGAAGGTTTGGAAAGAAAAGGTATTTTGTCATTCCATGAAAATGTGAACTAAATGCATCTCCTTTCTCAACTATTAAACAAGCATACTAGTTTTTAAACCATATATCTATGTTTCTCAGGAGTGCAGATTTGATTCATACCACCTGCTTGTCTATTTTATAATTCTTATCAATATTTTATAATTCTAATCTTAATACTTTTAATATTGAGTAATTATATTAAGAAATATAAATCATAGATAATAAAAACCCATTTTATCATTTGCTTAACCCTGTTTGTGACCTGGTTTATATATCTTAAGTATGAAGCCCTGCATGCCCAAGCCATCAGTATGAAACAGAGATATGAAAGCAGGATAGAGGAGCTGAACACGGAGAAAGAAGAGGCTGTCACCAGGGCTGAGGAAGCAGAAGAGAAAGCCGCAGCCCCTGCTGCCACTGTTGGTGCCCCCACTGCAAGTGGAAATGTTTCTCCTGAAGTTTTATTGACAGAAGTAAGAACATTTACGATAGACCTACAGCTTTCTATATTTAAGCTTGACCTATATCTGTTTATAGCATTTTTGTTAAAAAAGTACAATTTCTCCATAGAATAATTGGAGGAATGTGGCTAACTTAGGGTGCTTTAATTACTTTGCTTTATGATTGACACCCCAGCTTACCTAAGCTGTCAACTGTTGAATCACCTGGCATAATTTTATTCTAGAGTTCTCATTAATATAACGGCATTTCTTTATCATAAGTATGCAAGCACAATGTTTTGAAGCAAACTTATTCTACAGCGACAGCATGTCATTGAATTTGTATAATTTATTTATTTAGGCCAGATTCCAAGTAAAACATTATTTTGTTTTTTCTGCAGGTGAAGAAGATAATGAACTCTGTGTACCACATGCTGCGGGCTGAGTTCCAAGTTGACCAGTCCTACTTGGGGAAAGATATACTGGCCAGCTTAGTAAATGCTATCAAGGTACACTTCCATAGCACTGCACTAGTAAAAATCAAGCTTGGTCTTTATTAATGAAGCAGATACTGTACAGATTACATGTCAAGTTTTCCAAAGAGCATTTGATTTTGCTGTCCAGTGTATTAAGCATCATAAGCTTATTATCAATTGGATTCTGAACACTATTTCCAATTTTAAATATATAAAACTGTACTACTTAGTTAAGTTCTTTGACATGTTGACATCCTATACACTGACATATTATTAGGAGCAGAAATAGTTTTACAGATTTAAATTTTGAATTGATTTTTTTTCCAGAATGTAACTCTGAAACTGCAAGCTAGACAGAAGGAAAATGAAGAAGACGAAGAAGAAGAAGAAGAATCTGAAGATGAGGAGGACGAGGAAGAGGAGGAGGAAGATGAAGAAGAGGAAGAAGAAGATGAAGAAAAAGACTTAAAAAGTGAACAAACTAATCAGAAAGAAGATTTACAAGAAAATATTAAGTCAGAAAGTGCCATACCAAACCAAGATGCCACACCAGCTTCACTTAGCAAGACATCAGAAGACCACCCAGAACCTGAAGTGATTCTGGAGCCCTCTAGTGGCAGTGAGTCACAGACATTTCCTAGTGATAGTGACACACAGACACCTAGTTCTAATACTACTGAAGTGCCCTCTAGTGAGACTGATTCACCAGCTCCCTCTAGTGGTGGTGACTCTACAGCCCATATAAGGGCAGACAACGACAGAAAAACTGATAGTGATGTCTTAACTAATGGAATGGAAGAGAACAATGTTGTAGAAAAGGAGGAAATAACAGATAACAGTCCAGTAGAAAATGGTGGTAAGTGAAGTAGTTAAAGAAGGTAATCTGTCTGAAATATCTGAAATATCTCTTTTAATTTTAATTTGAATAATTTTTTGCCTGGACAGTAATCCCAAGAACCCCAAGTTGTTGTATATAATGTACTCATGTTTTTCTACCACAAAGTATGAATGTGGCTTACTACCATTTGTTTTAGATAATATCCAAGAAGTGGAAAATTCATATCATGAGCAACCGCCAGTTGTCCCAGATGCTGAAGGTAATTTATTTAATATAATGTAATGTATTGGGCCCATTCACTGAAGTCTGAACAGTCACGAGTGCTATAAGGTTTAGTTAAATTACTTGTTTTATACTAGTATGATAGGCCAGCTTACTGATGACTGTCCATCCATGAATTCTTGCAATACAAAAACAACATATAGAATTATTTTAGTTAGAGACAGGTGTGGATACTAGTATCTAATAAAAAAGACCATCTATGTTCCTGGTAGTGGGTATTGTTAAACAGTCTTCACAGAGATGGGAAAGTAATGCACTTTTATGTTAGAAGGATCATGTTTTCTTACTTGATCGTTTCTCAGATGAAGAACCCCCAGAGCTTCCAGGAGAAAGTCCCGACAATACGGATCCTCTCTCTAATGGCACGGAGATTGCTGCTGAACAAGAAGAAGCACAGGGTAAGGACTCACAGTAGTCTGAAGATATTTACCATATATGTGGTTATTTTGTCTTAGTAATTACCATAGGCCTGTGATGGAGTTGTAGGGAAATTATGTCAAAAGCTGCATAGCCATACAGGACCTGCTGTATAGTCTTATATTGTTAAGTTCTTGGGAATGATGATTGTCAAAGACTCTTGTGCTTAAGTTATTAGGTTAGACATTTTTCGATAGACATGTACTAGGTACATTGTCATTTTAAAAATAATTAAATTACTTAAAGTTTTAAGTAACCCATCTTAAAACTCAGAATTGGACTTTTGCTTACTTCAGATTTTTTCACATTTATTTTTTATTTATCTATGCGAAATATACAACACTTAATACATTTGCTGAAGTAAAAGGAAAATATTCACAGTTCATTTTTGTTTTATTTTTAAAGAAATGCCCCCTCAAACCAGACAAGATTTATATTGTTATTATTTTTTAATTGTTTAGCTTCATTAAAAGACATGGTGCAGCAGGCAGTGAGCCAAGAGAGCACAGAGGCAGACATTGATGATAGACCAGTGCCGCCCCCTATGAACAGGTGAGAGAAAGACTGCTTCAGCTGAAAGTAATTTCACTAATTAAGGAACAGAACAGAATGCTAGCATTTTACCTACTTGGTTATTCTTAAAAAGTTGTAACAAAAATTTGGGTGCTTTTCAGTGAAATCCAAGTATTTTTCTTTCAGTATGTTGTCAAAAAAAAACAAAAAAAAAAACACTCTCTCTAATAAATGGTTTGAACACTTCATGCTGACCCTTGAGGTGTTCTGGTATATATATATATATATATATATATATATATATATATATATATATATATATATATATATATATATATATATATATATATATATATCAATAACTTAGGCATGAGACCAAGAACTTTTGATGAAGGGTTGGAATTTTGCTTTCAATTTAAGTGAGTGGAATAAGCCTTGTAGTGACATTGAACACACCAGAACACAAAACATAAAAAATAATTATAAGTTCTGAAAAAAAATAGTCATTTATTGCAATATTTTATTCAATCTTCAGTTCTTTGTTTGGGGGCGATGATGAGGATGACGATGACTTGTTTGGGTTTGCTGTGCCTACAGAGCCGGAGGCTGAAAAGAAAGTGGCAGTGGCAAAGAAGGAAGAAGAAGAGATTGTGAGTTACTCTTAGGCAGCTTTAGGGAACATACTAAATGTTAAAACAAATTAAAAAGAGATAATAATTTTCCCCACAAATTTCATCACTTTTCCCTTGATCACCAAGCTATAACATATCTAAAACCATTTACAGAATCACAAACCATAAAAGTCGTTTGTGACCTCTTAGTATTTGAATCAGTCTTTTAGTAGAGGTGGATGCTGGCCAATTATTGACACCAGATATAATTAAAATTGAAATTTAGAACACAAAAATGGGTTTATTCGTCATGATTTTCTCAACAGTTTTGGACAGGATATAACTTGATAAAATTTGAATTGCTGAAATTTCTAAGAAATTATTTTATTGCTTTGTTTATAAGTTTAACACACATTGTATACCAGCCCTGCTTCTTTAGATAAAAACTGAGAGTATGGAATTTACAATGGTGCATTTAATTTTTCTAATATTAGAAGTTGAGAAGGATGTTTTGGGAATTGATCATTAAGTGATTGTGACAGAGCAAAGTAGCTTATTAAATAGCAGCTTTAAGCATTTTGAAATAATCATAGTATATTTATCTAAAACAAATTTGGTTTTGACAGTCAAGGTAAAATTATGGATTTTAATATATCGTATAAAACTGTGCCTAGGTATCTGATCTAATTATCAGGAATGCTCATATCAGAAATGTAGTTTTAGACCTGGTTAACCTTGTAAGCATGCTGTTGCCCTCTTATTTAAACACCAAAGAAAACAACAACGATGACTGGATCTTTATATTTACAGGATCCCACAAAAGACAAGCCGCCGCCTCTGTTTGGTGACGAAGACGATGACGATGATTTGGATTGGCTGAGTTGATGACAGCTCACATTTAATGAAAAATTTAGAGATTAAATCATGCTCTAATGAAGTGTTTGAAGTCATTTTGATCATTATTTAGTCCCATAATTTAAATTTATTGTATCGGAGAAGCGATTTTGTTATCACTTCTTAAATTTGACTTGAATTGATCAGTCTTATTTCCAGAAACAATGTTATAATTGTAATGCCTGAACATGAGTTGTAAAAGTAAATAGGCTTATGTCAAATATTGAACTTTATTTGTGTGGGAATGACACCAAAAATGATCAAGACAATCTGCACTTCAGTAAAATGATCAACAAGCTGAACTTAATTAATTTTTTGTTGGCATTATTTCAGAAGAATTGGCCAAAAGTGAAGTTTTTACAGAAATTGTTTTGATGGGCTATTAAAGGGAAAACTTAAACAGAAAACTTTGATCAAGGATGATACAAGATTTTTTATCATGAAAATTTATAACGGTGCAGGGTGATGTTTGAGTTGACCTGTGTAAAAAAGATAATTATATAAAAATATTAGAAATAAATGCAGTAAGTTGTTATGCATTCAATTCCATCACATTGCCAATAAATATTTATCTTCTAAAAATGAAGTCTTGAGATATCTGTAGAACTTCCATTCTAACTGTTACAAAGTTTTACCTAATTTACACAGCAAGTTTCAGAAATTACTGGAAACTAATCTCTATGATCAGCCCATGGGAGTATTAAGTAACCTCTGATTAAGTAGAAACATACTGGAAAGGGAAGGGATCCAGATAGTAGACAGGTAAGTTTCTAATCTCCTTTGAAATTTTGGGCTTATTTTATTGCTCTACAGCAGGTTTTACGTGTAAAACGTAAGTCAATCATATCTTAACAATTCCCTAGTATTTACTTTCTGGTATTATAATTATTCACAGGGATTTTAAGAAGAGAGGAAGATTGAACCAGAAATGTATTTTTCTCTGTTGACAAAAATTACCAAAAGGTAACTTTCTTATCTGGGCCAACATCCAATCATGTAATTATGACCTAGCTTTTAGATTTGCCCCAATTAAAATTGTCATTTCAAATGAACTTATAACCATCTTATATAATTCCTATTATACATAAATATTTTCACATTCATTAATTTTACAAGAGGGAAAGCTAATACTTTCAAGTTCATTTTTATTCCTTTTTTTTACATGAACATTACTTCAAATTGTTACAGCTATAACAATATCAAAAAAGTTACAAAGTAGTTTTAGGCTTTACTTCCGTATTTATACTAAGTAAAAAAAAAAAAATCCAAAAGCCACTCACACATATTCTTACAAAAGCATTGCTTCCAGAAATAAATAAGTTCTAACTATCCATGATTCACAGAGTGCAATGCAACAAAAGAGAACAGGAGAAAATGAGAAGAAATCACTTACAGAAGTATAGGTCTGCACTCTGAGGCATAATTTTTTTTGTCACTGACACATTCACAAAAACAGCACAGGTCAACATATTTCTGCTCTTGCTAATATTCAAAACGTGTCATGCACATCGGTGTATCCTGTATCTATCTATAACTTACAAGAAATTGAAAATGTGATATATCACATGAAAACAGTTCCTCTTCAAGAAAAATGATAATTGTTTTAAATAGAAATGACTTAAATTATCAGAAAAAAATAAACATGCTGATGAATTTGATGTTCAAATTACTATGGAATTATAAGTACAAATGGCACTTTGGTACTATGATATGTATGTAGCAACAAAGTAGTCCAAAAGAGTCTGTATATAAAAGAGTAACCTGCAAGTAAGCAGGTAAATAATTTATCAGTGATTTATAGGCAATGACCAATCTTTCATTTCGCATACCTCTTAGGAGAGCCTTTTGAGCTGGAGCTGGAGTTCTATTGGGCTTCTTCAATAAATCCAGGAGCAAATTTGAAGGTGCACAGTGCAAGATTTTCAAGCCAGAAACTAGATCACAATAATATATTTTTCTGTGGTAAATGGCATTTTCCTGACCCTTGCAACAAACTGAATTACTTTGGGGAAAAGGAACCCTTCAACCACACCCAAGAGATGGTGTTTCACGTTCCACCATCACCTCCAACTCAATTCTTGCACCGACTTCTGGATTCAGCATGTTTTGAAACTGTCAAAATGGTTGACAGGTGGTTGTAGATTTTATTTTAAAATATTAATCTGTCAAAATATGATTAAAAGGTATAAATAACTTGTCCTCAGATATGTTCAACAGGAAGTGGCCTTTGTAGTTAGTATGCTTAAATCCCTTATATAAATTTTGTCACTTTATAAATGATAGCATTTTTTCAAAATTCACAATTAGTCACACATCTAATGTAACAATAGAGCTATCCCTTGTAATTATATTCTAATTCAGTTGTAGCATGATGGATTTGCCAAAGCGATCCAGATACACGCACTGTTTGAATGGGAATATATAAATAGTCAAAACCCCCAAGCAGTGGGTTAGGTGTGACATACTGTGGTATTGTGTTCACTACCACAGCATTTTTTCTCTGTTTCATAACCCACCATGTCCCCCTTCCAGGTACAGCAGATACTAACTTACAGGAGTGTCACCTGACAAGACAGAATGCTCAATTGGCTTGATATATCACACTGCCTTCCACTGCCTGTGTAACATTTTGCAAGGACGGTCTTCAATCATGCAAGCAAATCACACTGCTGGATGCATTTTTAATTTTAAAAAAGTTTCATTTTGTACAGTTCCATAGTATAGTTAAGTATACCCGTTTTCCTTTTCACACAACTTCTCTGCTGACTTGATGACATCCATGACTCGGGTAGAAGTGATGGAAAAAATAATTACTAAGCCCAACTTTTGTTCCCTCTGACGTTATGAATGAAGAATGTCCAGCCTACTACTCCTTGGATTTTTTGGCATAGACTTTGGTCAATTTAAGGCAAAGAAGGCATACTATACTATACGATGAATCTAAGTGAACTGAAACTTTCAAGTTTAAGTACATGAGATCTAGTATTATTTGGACT